TAGCGTTCCGCGAAGATTGCCCCCACCAAGCTGGGGAGGAAGTGATTGGGAGATGCATGAAGAAATGTAGTTATTGGTCCATCGAGTATGCTCGTGGTTGGGTGGATTGAATTTATTTTATATCGAGTGAAGTTGAAGGTGGTGGGGGGGAGCTCGGTGACCCGCTTCACTGTACATTATAGTTGGCAAGTGGTAGTCGATAAGTCGAGTGATGGGTCTATGAATATTTGTTTCCATTGTTTTCGTATTTTAAATATTTTTTGTTTACTACCTTTTTTATATATACATTTGTTTTGTCATCGCGTGAGTAAGGAAAGCTCCGGTAGCGAAAGGCAGCGGTAACCAGATGTGGTTTCGCGGTTGATTGGTGTTTCAGATTGTTGCTGTCGTCATCTGCTAGGCATGAGAGGGTTAAGGATATTACGTATGTGTAGGGTATTACTGAGCACTGCTTGTGCTAAATGCTGCTGTTGCTTGTTCTGGGGGCTGCCGCTGGACGCGCACGGTAGTCTACTCGAGTAAATTAATGGCAACGGGCAGCGTTTCACCGATCGAGGAGCGAGTAAGGTAACGTAACCTATGGAATCAGAAAGAGGGGCTTTTGCTTGCTGTTGAAGGAGCTCTGGAGAACGTTATCGTGTGAGTTCTTCCTCCCGTTATCCAACTGTCACCTAAGTTATACAAGTCACTATGGTGGAGATATACTCGAGTACCCCAGTTCTAGGCGTCAACTGTAGCATTGCGCCGCACTGGGTCGCATGGTGCGGAAACTGGTCACGCAACCCCTAATAACATAACCTGACATGATCAGAATCAGATTAACATATGCTAAACACTTGACCACCACACGATCGTTGCCTAGCCACCATTAACTAATCAAAGCCCCAACTGACCAAGAGCCAGGCTTGGCTTAACCCCGTCACCATCAACTATAACTTGACTTAACCTACAACAATCTAAGGCACGGTGCTCGCACCTCCTAAATTTACATTACCGGTATCTCCATAACGATCAATCCGCCTTAACAAACCCACTCACCGCCAGACAGGGTTCTTTTTTTTTTTTTCCTTCCCATCCCGCTGCTTCGCTGTCCCAACTGTAAGGACGCCACCACTGCCTCCACCGCTACTACATCCACCAGTTCCACCGGGAACGTGAGTACCTGTAGCGTGCTTAATGCCGTTTGAAGCGATGTCGGCTTCAGTTGCGGGTTTGGAAACCGATAACGACGACGATGGCGAGCAGCAACAGCAGCCGCGAGAGACGCTGCTGCAGGAAAAGGAAAGGGTTTCGTTGGACACGCTTCCGGACGAAATCATTCTTACGGTTTGTGAATTCTTGGATGTGCCGGAGTTGGGGGCTCTGGGGAAGGTGATTACTACTTTCTTTTTTTTCTCTCTACCTTTCCTTTTCCCGGATTTTTCTACTATATCTTTTCGTTGGGATGAGTGGATGCGGGATGAGGTGCAATGAAGTGGCTGTGATACGTAGCTGTGGTAGCTATGTCTGTAGGTGGGTAGGTGGGTAGGTAGGGAGATGATGGACAGCTAGCTAGCCAGCTAGACTTTAGGGCACCGGAGACACGATAGAACTCTGTGCAGCATTGGACCGGATCAAAACAAGAGAGAGGGGGGGAAGGGGGGAACGAGTGATCATTTCATCCTATCTACTGTACCTACCCACCTAACTATCTGGCTAACAAACTGACCCCCTCCCGCATCCACATACCCCTCACTTACCCTTACTACCACTGCCACTCGCCTCTCTACTTTACGCTACAGTTGTCAAAAAAAAAAAAAACTGCTAACAATTACCGGCCCCAGACAACCCACCGCCTCCGCGCCCTATCCACGGACCCCCTCCTACACAAGATCCGGCTCCACCGCGCCAAAGCGACTCTTGCAGCCTCCCTCCAACACCGCCCCTCCCTCCCGCTCCTCCGCGACGCGCAAATATACCTGACCCGCCGCCAGCACACGCAGCGCGTCCTCTCCCGTGCACTGCTTGGGATCAGATTGAAGCATCACTTTCTCACCCGGCCGAGCCTCCCCGCGCTCCAGGAGCGCGGCGTGATGTACCGGTGCGGTGGGATTGCACCGGCGCTGGCGGGCAGGGCGAAGGATCTTGAGAGGGAGAGGGTTAAGGATAGGTTGAGGAGGTGGGTCGTTGAGAGGCTGAGCCTTGAGGAGGCGGTTGGGTGTGGGCTGGTCTTGAATAAGGTTGTGTGGGAAGAAGGGAGGAGGGAAGGGGTCAGGAGTATTGCTAGGAGACTGATGGCAAGGTGGGGGAATGATGGGCAAGGGGAAGGGAAGAGGAAGGTTGGTGGTAGTGGGGTGGCGTGTTGGGGGAGAGGAAGGGTGGTCAGGTATGATCCGCCCAGAGCAATGGTTTTGGGGCTTAAGAGACACTTCGAAAAGTTGGCTGCTGAGGGGGGAATTCACCCCCGCGTCACGCCACTCTACCTAATTGGAAGTAGGAATTGATATCAAGTGGCTTGCGAATCCCTATGTGTCGAGCGTCGGATTGGTAATATCCAACCTATCCAGCCTGTTGGGGGTTCAAGGCAGAACCATGGGGGGACTTGGAGGTGTGGCCAGAAAGTTTACCTGTCGTTCATCTGCACTGTATCTATCTATCTAACTAACTAACCATTTACCTCCCCATTAGTAATGCCTGTCGCACAGTCATTATCATTTAGCCTAGTGCCTTCTCCCCATAACCTGGATTAATGTATCTTACAAGAAAAGTAAAGTGACGTGACGAAATTCAAACCATGGTTGCATTGAATTTTGCGCATTAACTGGTACCGTATCGTACGGTGATTCCCATGCTGCTGCAGCTAACTGAGTGTGAGTTTGTGTGTCTCAGGATGACACTCTGGAATAGGAATATAATAGAACACGCAGGGGTATTGCTTAGCAATACACAGCCTACCGTGCTATGGTACCGTACTGGTACTACCATACTTGAGTATATGATCCTTTATTTTGTTTTGTTACGGTAACTGCCTATTGTGTAAGGGGCGACTGGTTGGTTGGTTGGGTAGCTGTGGTGGGGAAAAGCTACCACTTTATTGCCTCCCCCACATGTAATAAAACCCGATCAAGCTATTATCCACGGAGCCACAACAAACACGTATCGCCGATAGTCCGCCAGAAAGGTGAAGGCATGGAGCAAGGTGAAGGCAGCGAGGCACAGCAGTAAGGGCATCATGACGGGAAAGGTAAGAGGAAGGGATGGGGGTGTGAAGGAGAGTATGTCGACAAAGTGATAGTTCACACAGCCCGTACCTTTGCCCCCTACAGCAACTGCGCGGTGAATTAGTGAACTCACGTACAGCGCACCAATTATCTTTGGTTAATATATCGCTAAGAATGACGAGAGAAAAAAAGGATTATTTGCTTTTTTGCATTAACTTTCAATGGCTCGGTATTCGGGAACTCCCTTGACTTCTGTTTCTAAATAAACCATCTACCGTGCTAGTCATCCGCCTCCTCCTTCGCCAGGCCATGCTCCCGGAGCAGGGACTGTATCTCTTCCGCGCTCCACAAGTGGTGGTGCACCTTCCCACTCTCTGTCTTGCCAACCGTTGCGAATTCGACTGTTATTAAGAGTACCATTAGCGCCCGAGCACCGACATGCAATTATAAACGCAAATGCTCCTCCCACAGGGACCCGGAGAAAGGCCGGAAACGTACTCTTCTCGTTGCTCAAGGTAGTGCTGTCCATTGTCTTGCTCAGCACCTTGACAGCAATTGCGCAAGCTTCTTTCAGATCGCAATCTTCCTTGTAATCTTGCTTCAATAGACTCTGGGCAGAGGCATTATTGGCACCAACAGAAGTGGCTTTCCAACCACCGTAATTGCCGGAAGGATTGGATTGGTAGAGCTGGAATTCACGTTGTGAGTCGTAACCTGCGTAGATGAAAGAGACACCGAACGGGCGTAGGCCTGCGTTGTAAAACAAAAAACAAAACATCAGTTTCAAATGTGGGGGCGGGTTTTTCTCGTATCTATTTATTCACCCCTGCGGGGTTTTGTTTTTGTTGAAACTGACTTACCGCCATGTTGGGTGTAGCCTTGCTTCAGATCACATAACCTCCTAACAAGTTGCTCACATGGGATATCTTCGTTATAGGTGAGAAGGTAGTTTTGTGCAGCTTGTCGAGCGTAGTTAATCAAAATGTTTGCATCTGCCGTCATTCCAGCTACTGCGCAGATCATGTTACTGTACTCATCAAAATCCATCTCCCTGTTAGATCCTAGCCTTCCCCATAGTTCGAAAATAAATCCGGTGGATGATAGACAAGGGAGAGAAGTTCGAAACTACTGACTCGTTCAGGATGTACAGCTTCTCCGCACTTGTATCCTGTTCCAATAGCTTGCTTGTAACCTTTCTCTCTGCAGCAAGAACAATTCCATCTTTCGCTAAGACTCCTAGAGCGGTTCCGGCATGAGAAATGGCCTCTAGAGCGTATTCCACTTGGTAAAGACGACCTTCGGGGGAGAAGATGGTTGTCTGGTCAGAGAGTTTAGTCAGCGTCGATAGTTTATCAATAGCAAAGGAAATAAAGGAGGAGCATAATCCAACCCTAGAATCATAACGCCTAGACATCTCGGATGAGGTTCAAGATAGGATATAAGATGTGTTGTGAGATTGATGGAAGGGATGAAGTTGGTTGAAGGAGATGCTAGTTGGCGGGGGTGGGGGATGGACACTCGCGTTGCTGGGTTGCTGTCGAGGTTTCAACGGATGGACCTGCAATTCGACGACGAATGACGCCAAGACACTTAGAATGTCTCATGCGCAACTTCGAAGTGTTCAAATCTCCACCAGCCACAGTAACCGGTGATCCCATCTTCTGCCTCTTATTACTGGGACTTTGCCGTCCCTGATCTTGCGACAGCTGGTCCGTAACATGGCTTCCTTTAATCTTCCGAACCGTCCTCCAGCTCCCGCATCCTTCGGAGCACCAACAAGACCTCCGCCACTCGCTCCGGGTTGGACAGAACACAAAGCTCCGACAGGTTGGTTCTCCTTCTACAGTTCACAGCAAACATGTCTGACCGAAATGTAGGCCATACTTACTACTATAATGCCGCCACAAAAACTTCTACATACACTCGCCCCATCGCGCCATCGGCAGCCCCCCCATTCGCTCCAAGCCCAGGTCCTTTTCCGGTATTCAATGGAGCAACAACCCCTTATTCTGGGAGCTTCCCCCCTCAAGTTCCTCAGCAGCCATTCCCCAGACAATTTCCCCCGCAACAGCTCCCACCCCACCAATATGGCTACGGACGCGGCGGTGGTGGAATGGGGAGGGGCGGGCGGTTTGACAAACGGAACCAAAACCCGCGTCATCGCCAGCAAAAGCTACAGGAGAAGCCGGACAGACCAAAGTCGAAGTAGAATTCCTTGTGATTTTTTTTTTGTTAGCTGCTTGGGTCTAACGAAAGTGATTAGGCGGGAGATACCAGGCATGGTACCATGGGTTCTTGTTACTACGAAGAAGGGGAGGAAGTTTGTTCATAACACTACGACTAAGGCTTCGCTATGGAAAGCTCCGGAGGACGTCCAGGCTGCGATTGATGCGATGCCCCCGGAAGAAGACCAACCGAAGGAGCGGAAGAAGGGCAAAAGCAAGGAGGCCGCGACGCTTGAGGGCGGGAGTGGAAATGAGGTCAGGTCCGAGCAAGAGGAGAGGAGACGGGTTGCTTCGGTTGCGGTGGCTGCGGCGGCTGCGCTTAAAATGGAGGAAGGGAGAGGTGGCTCTCTAGATAGGGCAAGTGTTACACTCCAAGAGCAGGAAGAAGACGAAGAGGAGGAGGAAGAGGAGGACGAGGGAGATGAAGAATATGCTCAAAAAAGGGTGAAGACTTCAGAACAGGGGCCAGTGGAGTTTACGGAGGACGATGTGGCCTGGCAATTAGAGGCTATAGCTCAGGAATATGGCTTTGATGAGGAGGACCTTGATGAAGGCGAGGAAATGACCGACGAGGACAACATTTATTTGTTCAAGGTGCATAAACCCCTACTAGTTTGATTCAATAACTTTGGAACAATCATCTAACACTTTCCAGGAGATGTTGGCCGAATACAAGGTCAACCCGTACAGCACTTGGGAGAAAGAAATGCCCCGAATCGTGGAAGACTCTCGCTACGTCCTAATAAACACAACAAGGGCACGAAAAGGGGTCTTCATAAACTGGTGCCGAGAGCGTATCGCAGAACTAAAGATCGAGAAGGAGAAGACTAAGAAGCAGGACCCCAGAATACCCTTCTGGGAATTCCTAAAAGGAAATGCAAGTGCCAAGTTGTACTGGCCCGAATTCAAGAGAAAATGGAAGAAGTCATCAGAGATGAAAGCCAGCAAAGTGCCTGACAAAGACAAGGAAAAAATGTATAGAGAATACATCTCTCGTAGGTACCCCGATCTCTACTGCTAGTTTGCAAGGCCCCAGCTAATCATCATTAGATATGAAAATTTCCGAACCCCTCCGTGAAAACGATCTCAAAAAGCTACTAAGGTCCACCACCACCTTGTCCCGCCACACCACCCTCGAAACACTTCCGGACTCAATCCTAGTAGACGTTCGATACATCACCGCGCCAGATAACATCCGCGGCAAGGTTATTCAGGATCACCTGGCGACTCTTCCGGAGGACCTAGAAGAAGAGAAGGGGCGGAAAGAGCGTGAACGGCGTGAACAAGCCCTCCGAGACCGAGAACGAGCCGTCAGGAAGGAGCAGTGGAAATTCCGGGGCGAGGAGCAGAGGGCCAAAGAGATGCTCAAGGAAGAAGAGGCGATGATTGAGAGAGCAAAGGTCGTTGGGAAACGAGGGCTTTTAGGACACATTACCAAGAAGGAGGGTACTGCCGAGGGTGTCAAGGACGATAATGAAGGTACGCCGAAGCTGGATGAGCCCGGCTGGTGGGCACCCGCAGAGTGAGCGAGAGTTTGTGGTTCGTGAGAGGGTGGCAGAGGTCGTGGAGGTAATCGAGAACCTGGTGATGTCCGAGCATAAATATATAGATCTGTACACTATCACATCGAGAGATTGCATAATAAGATAAAAGCCAGCTCATTATAGTCCTCCCTAGAAGGCATTCTCTAGTAAACTACCGTATTGCACTCTTGACAGACCCCCGGATCTACTCGTACCTACGGAAGCGTTGCGTTGTCCCTAGGGGTCACAGTTTTTCAATTAGTGAGGTCACAGTCAGAATACTGTACCAGATTGATACTAAGATCTGCCTAGTGTCTACCAATTAAGAGCGTCACTTATGAACTAAAAGTGTGAAACCGGGGGGGGTGAAGGAATTTGGCACCCAAGCCACCCCTATTCTACAATAAAATAAAAATATAAAAAGCAATCTGATTAAGGAAGAGGCATTCTCCCCAGGGTCGAAAAGGCCCTCTTTGCGCTCCAAGTCATAACACATCCCGCCACATATGCACAAGAAAAGTGCCAAACGCACCTAAGTCTGCCACCTCCAACAGCTGGAATCTGGTTCTCCAACTGCGCGAGACCTGAGGTGCCTTTATCTTTTCCCGGTCCGCCCTGCACCTGTGTCCTTCCTTTCCATGTTGGCTTCCACCTTGGGTTTACTCGCGAGCTTCGCAACTTGTTCCTCCCATTCCTCTTGGTAACGGGACGGCGGGGATGGTTGTTGAGGTTGTGCCTTCAACTTGTCTCTTATGAGGAACCCAAGTAGCTATAAATATATGTTAGCAATTTACATGTAAACTATTCGTAGAAGGGGAACTTAGGAAATACTTTCAGTTCCTCCTCTGACTACCGCGGTTACTATAAGGTTAACCTGCGATCTGATTGACCCCAAAGTTCCATCAGTTTTGGCAGCCGACTCCTTGAATTCACCTCGCAATTTCTCGATGGACGTCTTGATTCCCCTAATATCCTAACAAACTGTCGATACTCAGATAACTCTGCATTAATCTCTGATGTCCTACATTCGCCATCTTCAGAATATTGCCCTCCACGCGGAAGATATGTGTCTCGGTCGATCCACCAATTCCACATGAGTGGCTTTCCGTATTCCCACTGGACTGGCTTCCGGTGCCGTTGTGGGACTTGCTTTCCGCACCCTTGTTGGACTCGCCTTCGGTAACCCCGTCGGGCTGACTTTCCGCGTGGCTGAGCTCACCTCTGTCCAGTGTTCGCAAGCGGCCAGTCCGGCTTCCCGGTCTCATCTGGCCTGGCCTGTCCGGACTGCAGATATCTTCAGGCTTCCGAGCGATCCGATGTGACTGCTATAATTCTGGGGAGCTTTCGGGGCATTTGTATAAATTGTTATCAATTGAGCAGCAAACGAGCATATGCGTCAACAGCCTCTGTGCTCACATGCGGTATTTCTATCTTCACCGCCATTACATACATCATAGTAGTTGAATGACCGCTCTGTGCGCCACCTAGTGTAGATCCCCATACACTATACACTCTAAATAGTTGTACCCAACATGAAAATCGCAATCAAAGAGGAGAAATGGTTTTCCATGCGGAATCATGAAGGTGAAGGGTACTAGAAGAAGGATATAGTGGAGGGGCGGCTATAACGAAAGTAGTTAGGTATTTTACGGTTGTACTCGTACTGATACTGATATGGTATCATAATATCATAATAATATTATTATGATAATATTATTATGATATTTCAAGGGTCTCATAGCCTTCCCCTACCCTATCTAATCGGAGCGACAAAAACCCTACAATCCTTAAAATCTGTCTACCCCTTTGGTGCAAGTATGATATCATATTATCATACCAAATGAAAAAACAGCCACGGCCTCAGTCACTCCCAGCGCTGCGGCACTATCTAAGCCCTCCCAACGTTTCCGCTTTCGATTCTCAAGAACAGTTATCAAATCCCCCAAGGCGGTGGGGGGAAACAATCCCCCGGCAAAGGGTATTATCACATGTACCGATGAAGCGGCAAAGTACTCACCCCCAGCGTTGGGGAAATTGACGTGAATAACTTGTGAGCCATTTTTCCACTAAAGCGAAGAAAAGCAATTCCTTTTTTGGGGGGGGTGGGGGTGGGGGGGAAGGTTAGATAGTTTAATAGCTACAGCGCTTTGGCGTATGATATAAGACTGTATATATCTTGCAGATACCGTCTCGTATCATACACTCTTTCCGTTAAAATCTTGTCTGCTCTTTTAGGGTTGGAGATTTTGAAGCAAGTGTAGTCATGAATACTCACTCGTGTAATGTATCTCCTACCGCTTACTTCCCCCTCTATTCGAGGCGCAATGCCAATAGCCTTACTTGTGTAGCTACACTCTACGCATGTTTCTTCGTATTCCTTGAGTGGATTAACGCGTGACTTGGCATCCAAGGGCTAATCAGCCTCCTTATATCATTTACCTTCTGGATAGGCGCTTGCTTCTGGTTGGATGGATGGATTTGTTAAATAAGGTACGGAGTAAACGCAGTGAGATGTTAGAACCGGGGGTGGTAGCTGAGGGAATTCAGTGTCTACAATGGGATTTGTAAAAGGTATGAATCGTGTTGAGGAACTGGTAATTGAGGCTGTGGGAAGAAAAGTGCAAGGAATGACATCAGCAGAGGTGGGGACACGAAGGAGGGGGAGGGGAGGAGATAAGAGTAACAGTGGGACAAAGTAGATTGGTTGTTTTGTTCAAAGATAAAACGATGATCATTTCCTTAGGGTGTTTTTTTCGGAAGTCTTCAGAGGACATAAGAAACCTACTCCACCACGACAATCCGTATAGCAGTGACTGAGCAATAAACCTCCTTCTGCGTATGATACGACATATTATGCCCAACAAGATTTGTGCTATAACTACGAGTAATCTCACGAAAGATCACTCGTGCCAATGATCATTCCTACGGAGTCTGAGCGCGATTCGAGCGTTGGCCTTCCTACTTGTTACGGATCATACTCCACCCTGTTCTACTCCTTCTAAAAACCCACTACCATCCGCTAGATTACCATTTCCATGGATTTTCAATTCAATTCAATTTAGCAAACGACAAGAAAAACTATCTAAGATATTAAGTATTCCAAGCAAACTCCCTCCAACAAGCAAGCACACCACTATTTCCCAAACTCCAAGCACTAGAAGTACGCAGCCCTCATGCGGATTCCCAGCCCCGGACCTTTGATTTCTTCCTAAACATGTAGCGAAAAAATTCCTAAAAACGCAAAAGCGAGGTGGCAAAGAAAGAGGACAAGCAAAGCAAAATGGAAAGGAAGAAAACCACTAAGGCGATTAGTGTCCTTAAGTGCATGCCGCTCATCCGAGCAAGAGCTTAGTAGATGCCGCACGTCGATACAAAATGAAGGCGATACCACAGCAAGCGCTCAGAAAGAGTCCCGAAGTAAAATATAAGATATAGAAAGGCTTTTGAGATACAGCTGGCCACAGCGCAGAAAACACCTCGAACCTCTGGGTGTATATGAAGTCTCTCCATTGAAAAGTGTTCAGAAGGATAAAACATCCGCCTACAACCCAAACACTGATCAATAGTGATTCCGAGCAATTTCTAGTCCCAGACTTACCAGTGACAACAAGTACGGAGCTTAGTCCGCCCCAGCCTCTCCCAAGTATCACCCCCCCGAGAAGGAAAGAAGCAAGTGGTATCCGAGCCGAGTGTCCCAATTTGCTAATTCTCTCTTCCCACGATCGAACTTTTTCGTCCATATCTGCGAGGGTCTCTGTAACATTCTCCATTATTTGGACTAGCTTCTCTGAGGACTCCGTTAGAGTTTGATGAGCACCAGCGAGCTCTCCATAGATGCCTAAAATTGCGTCAAATTTCTAATGTATGCCATGGATTAGACTTTAATATAATAGTGATCTCTATAGGGCCAAGCCCACCATGACATGATTCTCTGCGAGAAAATCGAGCTCTCTGAATTTCTCTAAAGACTTTTCCTGTTTGGAACATAAGGGTTAGAAGAGAACCCCGATGGCGAAAATGGCCTCATTTGCCGGTCTATTGGAACATATGTGACTAACCATTTTACTAGAAATCGAATCAAAGGTCTACATCCGTGAATTGTAAGTCCCATCGTTGAATGCTTTCGGAATTTGCCGACTTTACCTGGTCTACTAGGTTGACCTGCTGGTCTGTGGCAATTCGAACTTTGTTGATTGACTGATCCGCAAAGTTAGTATAGGCAGGTTCAGACAAACATAGTAAGACTCACCGATTCGAGTTGATTAACCGCAGCTTGCCCCCTCTCATATAGCCTTTCTAAGTTACCGCTCATGGTATCCGCCATTTTGGTTGAATCTTCGGCTAAATCTATCTTTGCTCCTTTGTGATCCTCCACTAGTTCCTCTATAAAGGTTTTAAGTTTAGCAGTCGCCTCGGTTTGCACTTTAGCCGCTCTCCAGGCATCTTTGAGTGACACCTCAATAACTGCAAACAGTGATTTATGGGTTTTGGTAATGTTTCTATGAACATTGATCATTTCTTCTGCCAAGACAGTTAGCCCCTCAGAGACATATTCGATCGCCATTGATTTCATAAATACCCCTTTCGACCTCACGCCTAGCAGCAGAGCACATAGAAAAGCCGTTTGCGCGGTTGTTGCTGTATGAAGTCCACCATTGGGATTTCTGAGCCAACTTCCGGAGGCACTTTTTAGCACTACGAACTCTCTTATCCCTCACTCCCTCAAATCTTCGACATTCGAAGGGAAATTCGAGACCATCAACCTCAAATTCGCAGGCAGCCAATTGCACGCCAAACAAGATTCTCGAGTTCTCGTCTTCTTCGCTGTCAATCCTTATTGATTTACAGTCCCCTAGTAGAGACTCGGAGGCAATTTTGTGGCAGGAAGACCTTGATGAAAGTCTGCCCAATTCGGCCAATGCTGTCTCATAAGCCTCGTCGATTTCAAATAAGGGGGCGAAATCCTCTGCGCCACCATTGAGAGATGAATCATATCCTAGGGATTTAATCCAAACATCAGATGTGGAAGAGGGTGGAACTCGAGAGCGAAAAACACCCCAACACGATATGGTGGAGAGGAAGAGAGAAGTGAAAAGGAGGACAGTAGGAAGCATAGTGAAACCTTTAGACCCCCAAGAATTCCTCTCGGGTCGTGATCCTTTAGGGTAGGTGTTGGGTGGTGGGCTTGCTGTTGTCAGAGGTAGGTATGAGGGGAAGGGTAAAATTTATCAAGGTAGGAGAGTGGAAACCTTTGAATGCTAGTGAGCGGAACTTGGGGCTTAACTTACCCGACTACGCAAATCCTTTGGAGAGATCCCAAAACGCAGGGGTCCAAAATGGTGAGGTATAAATTATCATAATATTTATGTTGCCAGAAGTTCATAAGCTATCATGCATCATCTGGACAGCCAAGTGACAATTAACCAGTAAGCCCATCTAGTAGATAATTCAAAACGCTATCAGTTCAAAAACTCTGAGTGCAATCAAATTTTTATTTATTTTTAATTTTCGGTGCAACACTTGTGTTGTGCACAATTCCAGGGGCGGCCGTTTGTGTGAGTACGCACTCCTCTATCTCATAGAAACATCCCCCTCCAACTGGAAGGAAACATAAAAACAGACCGCTCAAAACGAAACATTTTAGGAAATCCTTCCGGAATTGTTTGTTTTCCCAGTATCATCATCCCAAAATGCCTCCGGGAAAGCCATCCCTTTCCCAGTCTACACATTCTCAACTTCCTGCCCCTCCTCTAGTCCTACCTTGTTGGCCAATATGCAAATACTCCTACTCCGTTACATCAATTTCGAGCCGAACCCAGTCCCCTTGGTCACATTTTGCCCAAAGGGACAACATCTATCTCGTACTTCAAACCAGCCAGCCCGGGGATGTGTTTGACCATTTAGGCTCACAAACGAGGATGAAGATATTTTGGGGAGCCCAGACGTTGGCAAGTTGATCCTTCTTGACTTCCCATGGAGAGCTCTAATATATGAGGGTGGATAGGAGGATATTGAATTGACCGCTCTAGTGCAAAAGACTATCCCTAGTGGGAATTTCTTTCAAGATCCTCAACCCGCTTTAATTGCGATTGGGCGTTCACCAGTGCTGGCTATTAAGTATCTCCACCAAGAAAAAGTGAGTATAGCTTATTCCATCTATTACTTAGCGATTTGTCCTCCTAAAAGAATATAGATGCGTCGCTTTCAGATCAAGTTTGTCTTGGAAGAAGACTACCAATCTGCTGTAGCGAGTCTAGAAAAGGTAAATTGCTTGGTGAAGCCCCCACCGGCCCCCCAAGACGCCACAGAACAAATTTCAAAGGGACCTTCTGCTCCGGTAGTGCGTCCAATATTTGCTCCTGTTTTTCATCCGACACCAGATCACAACCCCAGCCAACGTTCGCCTCCAAGGACCCCATCCACCAGCCTTCCTAGTTCCACTTCGTCTGATAGCACTGTCACAGCCACGCCTTTTGGGTATCCTCCAATTCTGCCACCCAAAGAGATGCAACAATCACAGTCACTCTTTGGCATTAACCAAAGTAAGGCCGATTCTAGGACACCGACCAGGCACGAAGAGCTCAAACGGCCCCCTGAAAGCTCTCATACAAGCTCCACTAACACCTATTCCTCGAGTCCGCCAGAACCGTATCATATCCCCGACAAGGTTCAAGATCTTCCACCCCCAAGACCTCCGCCAGGTCTAAGCAATAGTGAGCAACCAAAAATCTCCGCAGTACCGGTTTCAAGCAGTGGGAGAAGCAGTCTGGCAAGCGCTCTTCCGCCCCTGCCACAACCAACTCCTATAGGGACTTTAAGGGCCCCATCGCGGGCACAGACATCTGCCGGCTACATTCCCCACCCTATACAGACCCACGGACCAAATCACGGAGTATTCCGTCAAGCTAACGACGAGGGTTTAAGCAGCAAAAAAACTGTCCCGGCCTATCTTAACGCTATTTGCCGAGACATGTCGAACCTTCCCCACGATAACAATCCCAAGCAAGAGGATAGGTTGTCCCTCCAGTCCCCTATCCCCGAGGAAAGGAACATTCCCAACCATCTCCCGCGCTCTGGCAGTAAATTCAATGCTGCCTCTACAAGAGATGATACCTTAGTGGGGAGTAAACGGGGGAAAGGGGTGGATGACAGTGAGGACAGAAATGAGCACAAGCAAAAGAAGAGGCAGCTCATTAATATTGACGAAGAACGGGCCCGCGAGGAGGAAGATTTTGCCCAAATGGAGGAGTTCATTATCAATGCTATCCATGATGATAGCTTCGTAAGGTTGGTTGAGAGAATTGGTGGGATTTGGCAGAGAATGGGGTTTGAGAAGGCCGTGCCGAAATTATTTACTGAGGAATAAGGCTGATACTAAGAAGGATATGGGGTGGCGGTTGTGGTACGAATTGTGCATATAATTCTAGATCGGGTTCGGGTCATATCAATCGCTCTAGCTTGCTGATAGCCTATTGACTATTCTGGGCAAGACGTTTCGGCCGTTTCTAAAGGCTTCTTCCTCTCATTTGCAATCTAAATCATGTATTGTCACTCACTGTACCTAGATTCTAAGAATGGTTGACTACTGTTCCAACACCTGAGGAAAAAAATGGAGTTTTCCCCCCACCCAAACTCTGCGGTAAAGTCAGTGTATCATAGCGCACCTTGCGCCCGAGAAAGATTCCCTCCTATTCGTGACCCAAAGCCCCCTCCCAGCACCGGTGCCACAGCCGAACTCCCCAGAAAATAACGAACATCACCACCACCAAAACAGCCCAAAACTCCGAATGACCACCACTACCGCCACAACAAATAGCTTCACTAACTGCTAACCCATCACCCATCACAAAATAAAACGAAAAAAACCACAAAGAACAAAGCGCTTATATCTCCCCCTCCCCTCCGCTCTAATACCATACTCTCCACCTCCCACAACCGCACCCCAACAGCGCTCCAAATCAGCCCACCTAACGCAAAAATCCCCTCAAATGAAGAAGACTTAAGTCCCACAGCCGAGGACACTCGTACAGCACGAGCACACAGGACGGGGTACAGTAGCGCACGCTGAAAGCACGACCTAATCTGCTCGCTGCGGATTCCGGGATTTGTTTGCCTGGCGGGGGATTTGAGGGGTGGAGTTGGCGGTCAAGGTGCGGGGAGTATGAAAGCTTTATGGGGATTAGAAGTGGGGTGGGTGATATGTTTGGTTATTTTGAGTTTTGGTGAATAGGGTAGTATCCGGGTTTGTATCTTTGCAGTACGGCAAGTCACTCGTTTTTACAGATAAGCATAGGCATGGAAGGAAGGAAAGAAAGGGGGTGTGTATGTGCTAGAAATTCTAGTCAACCAGAAATTTGACAAGATCTAGTTGAAGAAGAAACCTCGAGAAGAAACTTGTACATCCGAAAGACATGAAATAGTAATCTGAAGAGAAGGAAAGAACAGAAAAGAAAATACCTATATACTAATAGTTACACTGATCTAAATCTGTATTTTCCTCAACCCCCGGACCTTCAGATACCAGTAGCATTGAACTCGAATTACCACCACTCGGGATTCGTTCCTTGTGATGCACCTTCTCAATTCCGGCCATTGTGTCCAGCAAAGCATCAGCAGCAGCAGCCATAACAACCTCAGCTCCCCCCGCTTCATTTCCGGCTAGAAGGTATTTCTCAACAGCAATACTATTGTCACTATAGCTGTCGCTGCCAATGTCTGCCGTTTTCTTAACAGTTTTGGCGGTATCCACAGTCCCGTCATCAGCGATTGGACCAGCTCCACGCATAACGTAGTCCGCTTTATCCAAGCCCTGGACATTACAACTATCGTGAAGCGTATCGAGCACGTCCACTGTACCTCTCAATTCGACATCATTGCCACCTTTGTCCTCATCGTCGCCCTGTGTCTCCGACGCCTCCGCGAAGAAACCACCAGAATCGCAATCCTCGTGTTTGAGGCCAGGATTAGACTCGATGGCTTCACCCCCGATCAACGCTTCGTATTCAGCTTCAGTTAGGAGATCACTTGGTTCATCGCTAAGTTCGCTAAGGGAGCTGTCAGATTCAATAAGAAAGCCACCACTTGCTCTCTTCTTCTGCATCATTTTCTCTTGTTGCTGCTGCTGCTCCTCCAACTCCAACTCTAGTTCATCCTCGTCGTCATCCTCGTCGAGAGTATACTTCACGGGTGTAGCTCCCTTAGCGGCGGCAGCCAGTCGAGTACTTCTACGAGATGCGACTTTGCTTTCCTGTCGCCGTAGGAAACCGCCTCCACCACCACTAGTAGCAGTGTCGTCGTCGCTGGAGTCAGCATCAAAATGATATTTGAAACTGAATTTGTGAGATCTATAATTGCGGCGTTGAGCCCCGGAGGAATCTGTATCGGAATCTTCACTTTTTTCTGTTTCCTCTTCGTCTGACTCGGTAATGGCTTTTCGTCCACGGGGTTTCCTCGCGCCGGGTTTAGCTTTAGAAGTGGTAGACTTAGGCTTAGACTTTGCTGTTTTCTTAGCAGTGGTCTTAGTAGTAGAAGCTGAAGGTAAAGCACGGAGGTTTTTGCACAGCTGTCTAAGACTCTGATGTTTCTTAGTCGGCTTTCTAGCGATGGGAGACTCCGATTCCTCAGACATAGAGTTGAATCCACCACGAAAACCACCAAATTCCTCTTCGTCCGCTTCGACAACCTCTACGACTCCTGCTTCAACAGCTTTGCTCTGATTATTCGCCATCATAGTCATCGGATGGCGAGTGCCTTCCTGCTCTTCTGGTATCCGATTGACATGATCTAAGATGCGTATCTTCGTAATAAAGCGTCGCCACATACGGAGTGCTTTTATATCACGATTTCTAGCCGCCTTTTCGTCTTGGGCTTCAACTAACCCCTCATGCACCGCTTGTACAGCTTCTTTGTATTCCTTAGCGACTACAATGCCAGTAGCGACAGGGTACGCATGACCATAACGGTACTCGAAGTCTGTCTATTTCCACCAATTAATTACCGTAGCAAAGGTATTTAGATGGGGTGAGGAGGAAGTTACAATAGCCGGAGCGAAGTCAACGCCCACAAGTCTCGCGGCTTTATCGACATTTCTCTCTATCCAACCAGGTCCACCCATTAGCATCCCTCCCCCTTCACAGATACGGAGAGAGCGATTGACATACGAGGCAAATGCACCGCCCCTTCCGGCAACATCGACTCCACAAACAAGTCGATATTCCCAAACTTGTTCTTGACCAGCTTCCCATTCACCAACGGCCCCGGAACGTAAAGCTCTGTTTGAGACTCCGCATACAGACCGTTCATCTCTGGTTCTGCATTACTGCTCCTCGCATTGCGAAGTTTGGTACTAGGTAGACGAACAGCTTTCACATACTTTACGGGTTTGGATTCTTCCTCCGGTCTCACAGTCCGGCCGAGACGTGTCCAGTTTTCAAGCGAGCGGAGCTTTATCACATCCTCACGGCGGTATATAGGTTCTGTCTTTATATTATCGCCAGACCCAGTTGTTAGTGTGCTACACTTTCGGAGCACCTTGAGGGATTCGTCACGTTTCAGGTGGCGTTCGAGGACGTATCTGTCTGGCGTTAGTATTGTTGGTTATGGAAGTGGTGATGATGGATAGGAAGGGGAGCGGAGCGGAAGTACAATGGATGTCCCTTGAGATCCTTGAGGCTTTTTGGGATAGGTTCGTGAACCGCCTTGTTAGTGAGTTCGATCTGTTCTAGTTGCTGTCGACCCTGAATTTTCAACGGGTGGATATATTGTAAGCGCACTAAGCCAATCCAAATGTTAATGGATGAATTGAAAGAAAGAAACTCACAGGATGTGCACCTGTCGCGAGTATGGCCATAACTTTATCCCACCAGGCTTCCCCAGCAGGAGTTCCAGTGACTCGGACTTTGCGAGTTTTTGTGATTAATGCTTGTGCGTAGCGTCTTGTCACGTCAGTGCAATCGCCGTCTGTATACCCAATCAGTACATTGAAGAGACCCCACAAGACCCACAAATCAGAACTAACCGTCTTCGAATCCTACAACATAACTCATCAAATTCCCCGGAACCTGTACTGGTGGCTCGATAACGCTCGGTTTCCCAACAGTTTTTGTGGCAAACGGGTCTACAGCTATCCACTTCTGCCCTCCAACGCTCCAAGCCTCCACCCAATACACCGGCCAGCCAGGCTCATCGTGTCTAGTTCCGTAATCGTTCTGCCTACAATTCCGAAGCCAAGTTTTACTAATGTAGCCAATTCCCCTTCCCGGACCTGTAGTAGCATCCGCCAGAATTTTCATGGGAGGCTCGTGGCTGGAGAATGTGAATGGGAGTGCTTGGAGGGAGCAGACGAGCCGACAAATTACTCCTATTGACCGGAGCATTGCGCAGAACAACTGCGCGCCGATATCCCTGGACCCTTTGCGCAATCTAGAGACTATTACGAATTGCTCGTAACCCAGTGGAGGGTCACCGCCTTTGTGTATAAAGTTCTAATTGTTATACACATTAGCGCCCTGAATACAAGCAGCAGCGGCAACAGGATAGAAAGAACCTCCGGCCCATCCCACCGACACTTGCTCAGTCCTGCCCTCATTACTCGGAACTCTTCTACCCAGTTCTCAGATAAAGCTTTTAGCCCCTCCAAGAAAAGTTGCGAGCGGCGGAATGGTTGGTCCTTGGGGTTGTCAATCAGAAGCCGGCGGATACTCGACTTCACCAGTGGTAAGAGATTTTTCTGTTCACCAAATGTGTTGAGAAAAGTACAACATATGCAAACCAATTGAGTGGGCGGATGTTACCTGTACCTCCAGGCTACTACACCAGCGATTCCGTAATGAGACGTGGTGGAGAAGGCATAACAAGTGCATTTTATGTGCTTCCCACCTAATTCTACGTTCGACTGGGGTTATCGTTCGTACCGTGCGTGCAGGCTTTTCGCCTTCCCCGCCGAGGGTGAGGGATAGTGGCGCTGGCATGGGTTTTTCACTCTGTGCGGAAGATAGAAAGTTGGTTATTGCTACAGAGTAATATGTTAACTGTCATAGCAATATGAATGAGCAGGCTATAACAAAACACACCTTGCGGGCCCAAATCCACATCCTCCCAATCAACGCCATCCTCATCGTCTTCATCCGAGTCTATGGTAGCACTGCTCTCATCCAAACTACCCACAGCCTCACTAGGAGTTGGTCGAACGGCCCGAGACGGTCCTGCACCAACCTGAGCACCCCTTTTGCTACCAGCAAGCTCCCCCGTAGCATTCCCACTCGTAGATACAGGCTTCCCACCTCCATTAAGTCCCAATCCAGAACCCTTAACCGAAGTAGTAGCAGACGATTTCCTCGCAGAAGACCCAACACGGTTACCAGAACCTGAACTCTTCACACCACCACCTGCAACGGAAGGAGAACCAGCAACACTCAAAGCTTCGTTAGTAGCAGTAGTCCTCAGTGTTCGAAGCCGACTCGACGGTTGTCCCGGACCAGGCGGTGGGTTCGAGGCCGGCCGTTTCTGCGACATTTTTTATTAAACTTTCTATAATTTCTTGTTCCCACAGCTTATTAGTTTCACGAAAGAGAACGAAATGAGGGAGAGTTGGTTACCAGCAGTACGTAGTTGCGCTGGTGGTGGCGGTGGTAGCATTGGATGCGATATGCCACAACGAGATCTGGGGAAGGATGTGGGGAGACGCGACGAGCCGCCAAGAAATATGTAGTCATAGCACTCAACGCGATTGAGGGTCTAATAATATCGGGCACTTCAAGTGCTTTTCCTGATATGATAACAGGGCTTGGCGTTCATTGTGCTCGAGCACCGCGAGCAAAGAGGAACTATACCACACTCGTAGTGTCGAGGCGTTTGTACTTGTACAGTACAAAGAACTGCTATCGCAAACCCAACCAAGTGGGCTAACTTTTGGTGGCATGCAATAGCAGTTCTTTTTTTAAAAAAGAATGTTTCGACATTACGGGTATTGACAGTAAGTAATCTCAAACTCAATAAGTTGATCCCCTATGTCACGCTTTTCATTCCCAGAGAAGTTAATGTCCTCACGAAACCCTTAACACTCGCACGACGCCGGTGGCAGTTGTTTTCATTTATCTGTCGAGGTTCTCGTCATCTGGCTAACCCCCCTAGCTATCAGCTAATTAAATGCCACGGTGCGCGGGTGGCACTTTCCAGATATATATCATACTGCGAGATAGACGGAGGTGTGGAGTTGTTTTAGTTATCATAGCCCTCAGACAAAATGCTGTGATACGATACCCGAGTAGGGGCACGTACGGCACTGCGTGCCGGCCCAGCAAGTCACTCCAACAGTCAGTCAGCTGTCAGCTACAATAAATTTCATTGAACCACCAATACCGGTATATCATTATTTCCTTTCAATATTACTCAGGCGTAGCTTCACCACCTTTTACCAATACTGTATTGCATGCTCGCGGTCACATTATGCCGTCGTCAGAGCAGTCTATTTTAGCACACCACCCTCCTATAGGGAGTGTTAGGGGAAGCCTCCCACACCGGTGATTTGTGAAGGTGGATCGTGCAGTATTGCGTTCTAGAGCACCGCATTATACACACACACACCGAATAACAAACGTCCACCAGGATGGCCATCAAGCTTGAGCATATTAATGGTAAGTGAATATAGCCATTTCGGCAGGTGTATTTGATACTACCGTCTAAACTCCCCTTCTATGCTTCTGAGATGTTGTCGCGAATCACAGACAGCACTGGAAGTTAATTGGTCAGCCAGGCTCCAGCCCGATTTAGACTACCCCTCGATATCCATGGGGGTTCTGTCCATATAGCACTTGATATGGGAGTTAGAAGGAGTGTCACTATGATAGACAATCGGTTGGTATCATATTTTCCATCGAGAATTCTATCATATAACAATACCGTACTATAATAGTATGGTAAGGTATGGTAATATTAATAAAATAAAAAAACATGCGCCACACAAGCAACAGCGGGCTAAATTGAACAGCGAGTGATTCTACATGAGTAAGTACCTCCCCTCTCTCTCTTCCACTCTCCCCATCCATCCGAACGAATGGACAAACCTATATCATCCTACAGTATGGCACCCCGCCCAGAACATACATCAATACAGCAAAAATAAACTATCCGGCGAGTAATCCCAAACCTGGTTCCAGAGAGGGGGGGTCAAACTCACAGTGATGGCGGAACAAAAGAGTCCTAAGCTGAACAACAATTTTGAAAATCCCCCCAGAGAGGAGAGCACTCAAAATCGCGCAATACGGCTGTCGGAAGCTGGTACCCAACGGCAGTGAGCTGGCCAAACCGCCTTAAACCAGTACGGGACGCACGGAAAAGAATTCGTAGATGACAAGAAACAGAACCTCTCCACGCAGGTCAAGCCGCGGCTTAAAAAGTTTCCATTTCCAGAACGAGTAGAAGTTTTCGTCATTCCGGGCTTGAGGCGTTTGCCCGTAGAGAGCACGAGTGATTTATGACCAATGGTGGTTTTCCTGTCTGAATGTTTCACTTCAGAACATGTGGTGCTAAACCTCGATACTATGTCGTGGAACGGGCGATGTCTAGCTTCCCTCCTCTTGGAACCTTCGTTCCGTGATAGAACCTAAGACATCGCACTTCATGCTGTGCCCCGTATTCGAATACGTCCACCGGTCCGTGTCTTGGATGTGTTGAGGGGCTCGGCGAGTGATGATGCGTGAATAAGAATTTCTCTTCTTCCTCCCTCCCGGTGGAGCTTCTCTGCCCTATGGGCTTGGCAAGTAGGAGTGGGGATGGAGAGGGCAGAAAAAGTAACGTGGATGATCGACAGGGTATATTGGTGGTAAGATTGGTAAGTGGGCTCGAACCAGGTTGGACTAGGCTGGGCTCTGCACTGATGGCTCGGCATTTTCTTGGGGAGTTGCCGTATCGGTGGTTTAGATGGGTTATTAGGAGAGGGTCAGTGAATGTCACAAGTTGTTAAACAATTGTGGCAAGAATGGGGGGAGGGATTTGTTAACTCTCAGTCACCGACTCGGTGGAGGGAGGAAAGGAAGGGCGATTTCGTAACAATGCTGGACTCCTGAAAGGTTACCCTTCATCCTAAGGTTCCCACGATGTTTAAGTAGCCCAATTGGTCTGTCTCCTGGGTGAGTGAGTGAGAGCCATACCACCAGCTAACCCGTACTAGGGCACATTCCTTTGATATCATATCGGCTATGGCAATCGCATAAAATAAGGGTGAGGTTGGCGCTACCATATGCTACTCTGTCGCAGAACTAAGAAAAACGCCCATTCCGGTATAATATTATATCTCTTGAGCCAGGTTATAAGACTTACTCACCCCCGCCAAAAATGGTCCCAAAGATACGGTATAGTACCGGACAGTACAAGGAGGGGACCACGAAAACACCACTCGTACACCTCGGCCCCAGTCAAACCGGATGGGGCGAGACACAATAACTGCGCATACTATCGCCAGAAGCTCTCCCCTTACCCTGCCTTAGATTCCATAAGCTCCCGGCAAAAAGCGCTCGCTCACTATGCGAAAAAGAGACACTTTTGGGAACAGTGCCGAGCAGCGTACAAGTAGACAATGCCTGTAAGGCGGCGCTACAGCACGGCCCACCTAGGCTGGCACCGTTTCGGATCACCACCACTTCCGTTTCAAGCGACCGAAATTCGTGACCCGGATAGATAGGAGGAAGGAAGGTCTTGAGGGATATTTAGTGATTTCGGACGAGCTGCTTTGCCCTGATTTGTAGAGGGAATTCGAATTTTCTGGCACTTCTGACGTAAGGTTTGCTTCTTCGTAGCCCCTTTTTGTCTTTACTTTTAACATTGCCTGTAGTGTAGCGATTGAAGTTGAAGTTCCGCTGCGGTTGCTGCAAAGCGGGAAGGAGGGAAGGAGGGAAGGAAGAAGTTGCTGTCCACGGCAGATTGTTCCGGGGTTTCTCACTCGGAATGCATGGGAGAATAGAGAGCTCGGTCGGGCTTCCGTGGGTTGCACAAGAGTTTTCTCAGGGCTTCCACGACTACCCAAGCTTTTGCGGGGGGGCTGTGCTCGTGCACCAGTACTCAAGTACTGTGTGAAGGTGAAGAGTGACGAAAGCATCTGTTTGACTGACTAGGATTCGAGGTCCACCGCACTTGGCCAAGGGGAGTTATCTCCACAGTTGGTTTCGCGATGCTACTCTCTCTCCCCGGCAATAGTTTATTGAGTCTTTTAGTTTACCTCGAAACATTCGTAGAAGATCTCCCAAGCAATCCTAATTGGCGTGCTCATCGTCGTCACCCAGACAGGAGCATCGACAAGGGCGCTGCCGGTAGTGCCGCGCAATAACAGATCCCTTCAAATACGGTATCGATACAGCTTTGCCTTCTCCCATTTATCAGTATCCCAGCAACTCGAGGAATCGAAGGGGGGAGGGCTTTATGTTGATTTTTAGATGAAAGCTCTGAGAGTCGATGGGCTTTACCTCTCCCCATTTGTTCTCCCCTCTCTTTCTCCCAATTTGCGATAGGCCTTTGAATGCGGTCGTATCAGATCACACGGTATTCTCTTCTTCCGTTGTGCTTGCTTGTATCCCAGATTTTCGGTGATTGCCGAGATGGTTGAAGAAGAAATTGATGAGCTGCCGACGATGGCCATATTTGGGCATCGGAAGCCTTTGGGCATTAATACGTAACTATTGAGTTTGGGGCGTGGAAAAAGGAAACGCTGGCTAGCCAACAGAGACACACGTGCTTCAGCCAAGTTCTTTCTTTCTTTCTTTCTTTCTCTCTCAGCTAAATCTCACGATCCTTGGCGAAAGAGGGTGGAGTCAACCTCAAAGCTGAAGGAGCTCTTTCATGGGACTATTGTTCTGGATTCCTTTGTTGGGGGTTTTCGCTGATCAATCGCTTCGGTCCACCGACAAGTGTGCCCTCATAATAGACTCTATTTACACATCCTGGATTGCAGTCTGTGGAAATGGCAGTCTGTGGAAATGGCACGATAGATGATACAAGTGACAAGTCGGGCACAACGGGTAGAGGAAGCGCCCGTTTTGGACTGCTGTGGAGCACGGGACAAGAACGCTCAGGGATTGAATTGGATAGCTGTGAATTTTTTTTCATTGCTCCTACGATCCTTTGCTTTTTTCCGAACGATTGGCGAAATACCCGATATGTGGGGTACAACCTCAAGGCTGAAGCAAGTACAAGTAGGATGCCCGGGCTTGGGGGCTTAGAGTGGATATGCGAGTCTGGAGTCGAGTCACTTAATTATCATACAGCACTCGAGTAACCTCAGCTCCAGGTTTCTACCGGTTCGTGCATAATTTTTCCGGGTGTCACTCGGGGTGTCCATAGTTTTTTTCCCTCTCTCTCCCTCTCTCTCCCTCTCTGTCTCCACCTTTTGCCCCCTCCCCTGTGTTCATCCTGTGCTCTCCACTGCTCGTATCATGCCAATGCCAAAGTTGGAGCATTGTACCGGTATCTTGAGATATTGTTGCCGGATCAATGCCTGCTTTGATTATGAAAAACTCATCACCATGTCGTGCAAGCATCAAACACGGAATGGGAAAGAAACGAATTTGAGCCCCCATCCGCCAAGGGCAAATATACCTCGAATCCTTACCCACTCGCACGCCTCGAATCAAAAGGACTTATTCATCCAATTTTTTTTTATCGCGTGTGACCCCTGAACCCGGAAGGGGAGTTTCAGCTGCGCATTTCTATGTGTGAAATCGAGGCACGCGACCCGTGAGGGCGAAGAAAATTTTCCACGGTAACAAAAGAAAGGAGAGAAAGGGGAAAGAAATACAGTACGAGTAGAAGAAGAGGGATAGAGAAAGAAGAGAATATGGTAGGGAAAAGGAATGAAACCCGGCGAGGTCTAAGCGCACGGTAGGTGGATGTAAGACTTGATAGTCGAGTAAAAAGCCTCACGATGCCTTTTTGATGCCTCCTATCTGCTGTGAACAGAGCACAGTACAGTAGATGTGTTACATGCAGAGCTGCAGCTATTGTAAGATTACTCCTGTCGTTATAATATTGTTGCCTGGATGTTGATGATTTCGTAAACACCCGATAGAACACGGCACTGTGGCACCGGTATTGAAGTCTTTACTTGGAGAGTACCAGGTGCTTTCGTCTACCAGCAGCCCCTGTCCATCTCGTAAGCTTCTCACCAACCAAAGGGTGAAGTGCATCATCGTCTATCGCCAATTAATTAAATAACCCTTTAATAGGATGCTCATAGACAGCCATTTGTGGACTACCGATATGATATCTCAATATCTGAATGCGTGTGATATCGTGGTCCAGGTTTTTTCTTTCTTTCCTTTTTTTTCCTCTCCCTATTCCCCGTGTCCCTCCTGCCCGCGGTTATTCTGGCGATATTAGACTATTCGAGTTGACTATAGAGGCTATCATCCCATAAGTTGTTCCGAAGCTTTCCCCCACCACACCACCCTCCTCCACAAGCCAAATGCGGGTCGAGTGCGACAAGGTATCATACGGGTCACCAATGGGAAATACGAGCTGGGATGGGACTTTGAACGCTCCGGGCATTTCTCGTCTTTGTAACTCTGTTCCTCTTGTTTTTCCCCCAGAAGGAAGGGGAGGAAAAAAGAGACCGAGTTCATGTGGTTTGTGTGTGCCATAACAGTGGCTGCACCAATCGATTCGGATTACGGCTCTGGTAGCACAGCCTGCATTACATCCCAGTAAGACTCCATGGCCTCAAAGTTGAGATGGTCCCCGATTTCACCCGCATGCCACTACCGGCAGAGTCTCGGACGGTATTGTCCTCGTGGAAATCCATTCAGACGTGTTGTGAAGCGCCGGATTGTCCCGATGGCAACCAACCGGAGAGGCAGGAACGACAGTGATCACCGCCTCCAGAGGCGTCGACGGTTGGAGCTGCTTGCTTTCCTTACGCCCTACAAGCACGAGTCTTCTCGGAATATCTTAGACCTGCTCCCGATATTTTACTTCTTGAACTTCCAATCATCGTCCCCTTCATCCTCATCCCTTACACAACTTACATCTTACGCTCACCCCTCCAATCACCTAACACACATTATGGCTTCAGCTAAAAAGGGTATAAAGACCCCTACTTCCCCCAGCTCTAATCGTCGACCATCAGTCTCAACCTGCGCATCTCGTCCTGTCCACTTCAAGAACATCTTTACCTCCTCCACTGCTTTACTCAAAACTCAGCCTTTCAAGAAAGAAATGGTTTCTGACACTGTCAATCGTACCTCCCTCCACCCCGGAGGTGTCCAGTAAGTTCCACTTGAGTCTCTGTCAATTATTTCCCCTCCTCGAACAAGCTCTTCTCAGAGCTTTCCCTATTTCTCGAAAGCACTCAGCTCTCCCGCCACTCCTCGCCAATTCGTTGTCATTGGACATTTCTGACGTCAGAATTACAGGCCTACCCGTGAGCACACGGAAATCGAGGAGGAACTCCACGACAAAGCTAATATCGACTATGATCGTGTCGCTATTGTGTGTCCCCATTTCGACACGGCCGAGTTGAATTTGGACACTTAGTCTGAGGTGGCAATTCCCATGCAAAGTGTCCAACCGCAACTCGGTCCCCCTTGAAGTGAGCTGCCTGAAATTAACACTACTCAAAGATTCCAAATGCATCGGTAGCTGCTCTCTATGAAGATGCTCTCGTCTACGAAACTGGTTCCGCAATTACATCATCCGGTGCCCTGACCGCATACTCCGGGTTGAAAACCGGTCGTTCCCCCCTCGACAAACGCATTGTCAAGGAACCCTCATCAGAAGACGAGATCTGGTGGGGTCCCGTGAACAAGCCGATGCACCCCGATGTAAATGATCCCCGCATTTTCTCGCGCTTTCAGGGTTTTTTTTTTAGTGTGAGACCGGTTGGACTAATCACGTGACCATGACGTCTCAGGTCTGGAGAATCAATCGTGAGCGTGCTGTCGATTACCTGAATACCAGGAACAGAATTTACGTCGTTGATGGCTATGCCGGATGGGACGAACGCTACAGAATCAAAGTCCGTGTTGTTTGCGCTCGCGCGTACCACGCTTTGTTCATGAGAAACATGCTCATCAGGCCCAAACCTGAAGAGCTGGTCCACTTCGAGCCCGATTATGTCATTTATAATGCTGGATCTTGTAAGAAGCTCTTTCTTTTCCGGTCTGGGATGGACGTTTGCTAACATTAGGTTAGTCCCCGCGAATAGATATACTGCTGGAATGACATCATCAACTTCCGTTGCGATTAACTTTGGCGAGAAGGAGATGGTTATCCTTGGCACTGAGTATGCCGGTGAGATGAAAAAGGGTGTTTTCACCATTTTGTTCTATGAAATGCCCGTCAAATACAATGTTCTCACTCTCCATTCCTCCGCGAACGAGGGTAAAGAAGGAGATGTCACTTTATTCTTCGGTCTTTCTGGAACAGGAAAGACTACATTGTCTGCCGATCCTAACCGAGCATTGATTGGTGACGATGAGCACTGCTGGTCAGATAGAGGTGTTTTCAACATTGAAGGTGGTTGCTATGCCAAGTGCATCGGTCTGTCGGCTGAGAAGGAGCCGGAAATTTTCGGCTCCATCCGGTTCGGCTCGGTTCTTGAGAACGTGGTTTTCAACCCAGAAACCAGAGCGGTCGACTACGATGACTGCACCTTGACCGAGAACACCAGGGCTTGCTACCCTATCGAGTACATTCAGAATGCCAAGATTCCTTGCATTGCTGACTCTCACCCATCCAACATCATACTTCTGACATGCGACGCGAGAGCCGTGCTCCCGCCAATCAGCAAGCTTAACAATGCCCAGGTTTGTGCCGTAATGTCTTTTTCACTTTGAAGATTTCCCGCTAATTGTAGTTCCAGACCATGTACCACTTCATTTCCGGCTACACCTCAAAGATGGCTGGTACTGAGGATGGTGTCACAGAACCACAGGCCACGTTCTCCGCATGCTTTGGCCAGCCTTTCCTTGCCCTGCACCCCATGAGATACGCTAGGATGTTGTCCGACAAGATCACCGAGCACAAGGCCAATGTCTGGCTCTTGAACACCGGTTGGGTTGGCGCCAGCGCTACCAAGGGTGGTAGACGTTGCCCTCTGAAGTACACTCGTGCTATCCTGGATGCCATCCACTCTGGTGAGCTTGCGCAGCAAGAGTATGAGACCTACGAGACCTTCAATCTCCAGGTCCCCAGGACCGCCCCTGGCGTTCCTGATCAATTCTTGAACCCAAGCAAGAGCTGTAAGTTCCACCTAACTCTGGCACGTAATTTATGCTTGCGCATTAGCTTACAATATTCCTTAGGGTCTGGCGATGCCACTGAGTTCCAGGATGAGGTCAAGAAGCTTGGCCAACTCTTCAGAGAGAACTTTGCCAAGTACGAGGATGAGGCAACTCAAGATGTTAAGGAGGCAGCTCCTGTCGTATAAGCCTAGGGCATATTATTCTAAGAGACTGATTGACTTGGTTTGACAGCTGGAGGCAGTTGTGGAACATAGATGCATGGATTTCACTTGTTTGTATTTTTGGTATGATTGATGGGGGACGAGGGAGCGTACAGATTTTCTTTTTGTTTTTTATTTCTCTTTCGCATTTTTCTTCCTGGGTCAAATAGGCGTTCGAAAAATTTTACCATCGTTGCATATTCAAAGAGGGGTAGCTATCACTGTTCGTTGGTACAAGAAGTTGAATCAAGGTCTTCATATAATATTACGAGTATGATATGATAGCGTACCGTTCTTGTGAAAAAAAAAAAAAAAAAACCATTTATGCTCCATTGGAGGAAATTTTACAGCGGCCAAATGTGACAGCGCATTTCTCCAGCACCACCCAAAAAAAACTTTGATATTCCAAAACAGACCATTGGTTCTCGCTTCCTTCAGTCCTACAATACCGGCATCAAAGAGTACTCGTACACGATCTGATACCACATACCGGTACTGGTACTCTACCAGATTAAATCTGACTCCAACAAAATCCGGCAACAGCAACAGTCCAGTCCAGTCCAGGTCAGCACAGCACAGCACAGCAAAGCACAGCACAGCAAAAGTTACGACTACGGTACCCTTCCACAATCTCACCCAAAATAATAACAAACAATAATAATAATGTGCACAACAAAAAGAATACCGTATAATTAAAATGATAATGATAAACAGGGGTTTAATATATAAAAATTTGAGCCATTTTTCTTTCCCCACTTTCCACTTTTTTTCTTCTCCTCTCACTCTGACAATGCCCTTCTGTCGTATTCCCTTGGCGGTGGAGAAGAGGTTAGTTGTGATACCCTTGATGACCCGGGGAGTTATCGTAGTGTGCTTCTGCCGGCATGGTGGATGATAGACTATTATAGTGAGTTAATGTGATGTTGCGGATAAGGTCTACTATGATTATGATACGGTGCCAGTAAGTCGCTTCGTTTCGTTTCGTTTCGTTTCTCCTGCTTGCATGTATGCGTCCCAAAATATTGTTTTTGACAGATGATAGCCTAAATGGACCAATACCAGTGGTCAGAATAATTTACCGGTAGTTCGGGGGGATGGAATGTGGGAGGGGAAACAAATAAAAGGAAGGATGGGAAAAAAAGAAAGGGCCTGAATCCGGGATTGAACCGGAGACCTCCTGCATCTTCAGTTACCCAAAGCAGGAATCATACCACTAGACCATTCAGGCTTTAGCCAAAATACCCGAGGGGAGATCATGTACGGTAGGTTCGGTGCAAGAGAAAACGTGAGGAGACAAGACTGGAGTTCAACAAACTTTATTTTTATCCAATCTCCATCCTACCCACAAGCCATAATACCCCATTCCAATTCACCCAAAAGCCGATTCATAGCATACGAAACAATCAATTGATCATCCACCCGAAAACACTACAGTACTCACTCACATCAGCCCCATCACATCCCATCGAGAGGGAGAAAAATCGAAAAGAAAAGAAAAAGCTCACATTCCACAGATTCCCCACATTCTCATCCCCTCCCGGCGCAAATGTCGAATTGACGTACAAAAAAATCCCCTCTGAGTTCCTAAGCCCCAAACTATCGCGGAGAAACTTGACCACGTTCTCAAACCGTTGACTGGTCTTGATCTTGTACACTGCCTTGTCGAGTGCAGGAGCGGAGCCGATGGGCTTGAAGCGGATGTTGATCTTTGTGGGGCGTGGGTGTAGGGCTTTGTCCAGCGCAATCTTGCCGTCGCGTGGGAGGGAGGTTAGGACTAGTGAGGCGGATAGGGCCACGGGTAAGTCGTCGGTAGAAGTTGAGGAGGGGATTTTGGGGGGGTCGGACGGTGCGGGGGGTGGAGTTACTGAGGCGGGGGATTGGTCGGACATCGTTTCGAGATGTTGTGGATGGTTGGTTGGCGACGAATGATGACAATTATGAGGGGGAGGGCGGAGGGGGGTGTCGGCTGAGGCTCTGCGGAGTGCGGAAGCTATGGGTTAGGTCTTGCTTGGACCATTCATGCCGAGCTTTCAAATTTCCGAGTGATGAGTGAGCACCGTAATATTTGGGGCATGGTCTGTGCATAAGGCTACTACAATACGGTAAATGGAATGTGCAAAGGGATCGAAAAGGGACAACCTATGATATCGATGAGAAGTGCCTCTCACGGGTCACAGGTCACCCTCCATTGCTTCATCCGGAAAACTCGCTGATTTTGGTCATCATCGAATGCATTCACAAGGATCGATCACTCAGGACCGTTTTCTTAACGCACTTCACCGCTAGGCTACTCGAGTATGCTTGCACCCTTCATACCACAAAACTTTGCATTTATAGCTTTCGAATTGGTCTAGAGGAACATGTTTACCCCTCCATCCATTAAGTCCCCCGGGCATGCCTCAAAGAAAGAAGAAAAGGAACAAAAACACTACCCCAGGTTCCATGTACCCAACCCTACTCGCACACTCCTACCATCGGAACGAGAAAGGTGAACGCACTCGCCGAAAGGGTGTCATGATGTGGTTCTTAGAGTGCAAGCTTTTGTAGCCGTACAGGCGTGATTGGCTCTAAGACCTTTTATTCTACGATCAACTTTGTGACCTTACCGATGGCAATTGTTTGTCCCTGGAGAATGGGAATCAGAAATAAGCCCCTCTTGGCAGCTGAGGAAGTCATACCTGATCACGGAGAGTGAAACGGCCAAGCTGTTGATAGTCTTCATACCTCTCGATGGGGAACAGTGATCCAGTTGCCGACTCAAGGCGAGCGATAATTGCTTGCCCTTTACACATATTAGGTAACGTTCAATGGACTGAGGTGTCTGAATCGCTTACCCTTATTGGCAAACGCTGGGGGCTTTCGACTCTTTCTTCCCGTTCCTTTCTCGAGTTTATGCAGTAACGCAGCGAATGTGACCTCCTGGATGGTTGTGTGAACATGCATAACACAGTTGAAACCGGCCGTCAATATACTCTTAAGTTCTAGGATGTGAATTTGCGCTTCGAATGCAGTGACGCAGTGAATGGGCTTCTTAGGGCTCGAAAGGACAAATCCTGGAATGACGTCTTCTTCCTCGATTCCCCGTACTCGCAGACGCACTTGATCCCCACATTGAGCATGGGGGAGCTCTTCCTCTGTTTCCCCGTAGATGGCGACAATTTCGAGAGGTGTCTTTCCAGGCATCATCACGAGGCTAGAATTTTTCTTGATGAAGCCGGACTCCACCTTCCCTTCAATCACGGTTCCCATATCCTAGAATTGCGTTAGCTACTGGTATAAAAGAGAGCCTGGGTTTCAATCACCTTGTACTTTCCGCTGATAGGCATCATGAATGGTGTTTTGAGTTTACGCTCCAATGTTTTCATGTTATCTAGGTATTCCAGGAGCGATGGCCCAGAATACCAGGGGCAAACATCTTCAGCAACTCGTGTCTTCAAATTAGCACCAGTCAGTGCGGATAGTGGCATGAACATCAAATCTGCACACCATGTCAGCAATTACTCTCGGAATCTTTGCAACAGTATATATATCCAACCTGTCTTAGTACTGTAACCTGTTCCCTTGAGGAATTGTGTGAGCTTGGTCGTGCATTCATCAAAGCGTTCCTTGCTCCAGCAGACGGTTGGGTCGTCCATCTTATTAACCGCTACGATTAATTTGTTTACACCCTGGGTTCTGGCCAAAACCGCGTGTTCTCTAGTTTGTCCTCCTTTCTCGAATCCTGTCTCATACTCTCCCTTTCTAGCAGAAATGACCAATATTCCAACATCGGCCTGTGAAGCGCCACCAATCATGTTAGGAACATAATTCTTGTGACCTGGGGCGTCAAGGACAGTATATCGTCGCTTCTCGGTCTCGAAATATGCACGCCCAACTTCAACAGTTTTGCCCTTTGCGCGTTCCTCCTTTGTCAAATCGAGGGCCCATGAGAGATACCATGATTCACGACCCTGTTCTTTGGCGTCACGCTTATATTTTTCCATAGTGCGCTCATCCACCATCCCTGTGGCGTATAGAATTGCCCCTCCAAGAGATGATTTTCCAGCATCGACGTGACCAATAAAGATGAGATTTACGTGTTCCTAGATAGGGTCAGACGGGTTAAGGAATAAAGGATATCACGTGAATGAAAAACTACCTTCCCGTAAAGCTCCTCAATAACAGAGTCATCGATTTCGTCCTCTTGCGCCCTTGCCACAGCATCCGCTTCTCGCTTTTCCGCAGCTAGCTGGGCCGCCTTCCCTGCGGCAGTTGGGGCAGGGGATGACTTCCCAACAGGAGGTCCACCAGGGCTTGGGCTCGTCTTTCCACTTCCTCCAGCTAGGGAAGCAGCAACGGCCTTATTAGCAGCAACACCGGAGCCAGAAACTGGCTTATTATCCGGCTCCCTCTTGTGTGAGGGTGCAGGATCTCCGCCAATCTTCAAAACCTTTGGAGCTGCATCACCCCCAATCTTGAGCACCTTTGGAGCAGCGGCGGCGGATGTAGTAGTGATAGGGGTAGAGGTCCCGCTCTTGGAAGGGGTTGGAGAAGAAGTTCCGGAAGCTGGTGCTGAGTCCTGCTTTTTAGCAGCCTGTGGAGCTGCCTGCTGTTGTTGTTGACGAAGAATGTGTGGCGGTCGGTAAGGCTGTTGTTGCTGCTGTTGTTGCTGGTATCCAGAAAACTGGCCAGGCTGTTGTCCGTATGCAGCTTGTTGCCCATATCCACCACCATAATTTCCGTACTGTTGTCCATATTGCTCGTACCCTCCTTGCATACCATACTGACCGTACTGCCCATACTGAGGATATTGTTGCCCATATCCGGCTCCGTACCCAGCCTGGCCATAGCTACCGGCCCCAGGAGTGAAGGCAGGAGCTCCAGGCGTGAACGAAGCAGCACCGGGCTGGAATGTCGGGGCATTGTACGACGGTCTAAATCCCGAACCTTGCTGCTGCTGCTGCGGTCGGTTCAAGTTCAACTGATCTTGTGCTTGTCGAGCCAGGTCATTGTCGTCCCCGGCCGCATCCTCCCATGAGTTTGGCGTGTTTCCAGACATGATGAGGGTAGTGAGGGGTCGTTGCTGTCCTGTCAAAAAGAATTCGAACGTCGGCAAGCGACGTCTTGGATGGTGCGAGAGATGTAGAGAAGAAAAAGAAGGGGGGAGGGAAAATATCAAACTTGTTGACAAGCGAGCCCAGATTTGTGAAGAGTATTGATGAGGCCTGGGTATGATACGATATGATACCAAGACGGAAGAAAAGAGGGACTGAAGAGGGAAGTGCTTTTGAGAGTTGACGTTAGGTTGCGGGCAGGTATTGACACTTTTGGTGGGGGTTTTTTTTCTGAGTGGCGAGAAAAAGAAAGTTCTCTGGTGGGGCAGAGAGACACAGCTCGCAAACCTGCCGTACTCGAGTACTTGTGCTTGGTACTGTACTGTACTAGTACTGGCACACGTACTCGAGTATTAATTTTGTCTAATAATGTCACGACAATAGTACCGGCAACTCCTCGAACATTTTCCTGTATACCAACTACTGTAAAGAGTTTCTGCGGGACGTTTTTTTTTTTTCTTGGCCACGTCGTGGTTTAGGACTTTGAGCAGTTTAATTCACAAACGAACGCACGTGACCTCAACACCTCTGGTGGAGGAGGCTAGGTGAGTCAAAGCCTACCACTGTACCCAAGTACACGCAGCATGTTCACACCTTTCTGATATCTGTACGAGCAGCGGGATAGGATGACTGTCAGCAAGAGAAGGTACGCGATCTTTTGGCGCTGACCAATCACAATAGGGAATGAAAGCTCCCAAAATTCATTAATTGCACATATCATTTCACTCCTAAAAAACATACTTGGAGTGATATTTCATGATTGGTGCGGTAGATGCGCAGCCTGACCGTCTCATTGTGTGGCTCGGACCACAACCGCAATTGGGCAGACCCAGAGTAGGGCTGAAAGTAGGTGTACAGTACTGTATTTTATGGTCTATCTCTACTAGAATGACTACGCAATCTAAAGCTCAAGAACCTTCAACTCCTCTTTTACGGCCTTCAGAACGGCTGGATGTAGGGCCGTTTGAGCCGCCACAATTCCTTTATTAGCTCTCAGTGTCCTTCCCTGTCTGAAATCCAGCTCCTTCCCATAGATATCAGTGATCACGCCTCCGGCTTCTTCGACAATTAATGATCCAGCGGCATGGTCCTACAAGCATTACTACTCAGAGATCGGTAGACTAAGGGAGGGGGAACAAACCCAGATTTTCTCCTCATAAGACAAACTAACGGGTAGCCTCAGATAAATCTCTCCAACGCCACGAGAAATCGAAGCATACTTTGCCTGTGAATCTAATTGAATAGATGGTGCGGTAATGCCCAGGCTCTTAGCGATGGATGCCTGTTCACTGTGTGAGGAGTGGCCCGCTTCAACTCCTTCACAGAACCTAGCCTTTGAAAAGTCCGTGACGGAACTCATGGAGATGGGAGTCCCTTGAGCAGACGGGGTTGACCATGGTCTCTGTTAAACAAGAAAAATTATTCAGCACATGAAGAAGCCCGCATAAAGGCTATCCATAAGATATCCTGGGCAAACAAATAAACATACCATTGTAGCACCCTGTCCCCTAACGGCCGACAGCAAAATCCCCTTCTCTCCCTCTGGCGCCTCGGGATCAACTGGTAGGTTTGGGCACACAAGTGCGCCGACCTGAACCTTCCCGTCGACAATCAATCCCAAACACACAGCGTACTGGTCCCCGCGTAGGAATCCCTTTGTCCCGTCGATCGGATCAAGGGCCCAGATCCCTAGCCTCCGTTGTCAGCAATCTTTGTAAATAAGATAGAATAATAATAATAATAATAATAAAAATATTGTCACAAACTCCCTACAGCGCCACCCTGATGCGTCCCCCTATCGATAACAGCGAGCATTTCCTCGCTGTCCTTGATATCACCGAGTTCACTCGTTAAGTCCTTAGTTGCGTCCAAGGTGTCCTTGACGAGACCCCAGACCAGGTCCCGCTTTGCCTTATCCGCACGGAGATCACTGGAGTCTTCTTCACCGACTATTGAGTCTTCCGGGAAGGCGTGGCTGACGCTGCTGATTATGAGGGCTTGGGCACCGAAGTCGGCGACTTCATTATATCGTTCATTAGTCTGGTTGTATTTATGGGGAATATTAGGATGGGAAGGGCGGGTACTCGTAACAGGCGATTTATCACCCTTCATAATGGTCCCCTTGACCTGGGAATTATAGACCCTTTCGGTGAGAATACATGCCCGCTGGATAGCCAATTCCGCGATCCGGCGTTCATTGGTGTACGGCATTGTCGTGCAAATTCTGATGTAACGACGAGTGGGAAGAGTGAGAAGAGAACGCAATGAATTGAATGCGAGTTGGGTAAACACCGTCGCCGTGGCGTTAAGCTCTTTTTTATTTGTTTTCCGCTACGATACGGCCTTGTATGCGAGCTGTGTTGGAGATATTTCACTGTGAACCCGGGTGGTTCTCTGCAATAGTGGGGGAAACTGTAGAGTATCAACGCCGCTAGCCGGGTGCTGTCACTTGCAATGGTTACTGATGCCCAAGTTCTAGATTCCATAGATGAGGAAGCAGGAAAAAAAAAAGCAAATAAAACCTGAGATGGAGATGATTGTTTTTCCCGTTTTGATATGATATTATGACGGGATCTGATTGCGTGAAGGCGTGATGGAATGATGAACGGTATGATACCATAACTTTACAAATTCTGTTTTTGGAGTTGCCAAGTGTGATCTAATATAACTTTTTAGGCCCTGTTTGGCATGCTAGAAAAACTGAGTATTTCTCACTTATTCTCAGTTTTTTTTGTCTGTATCAAACTAAAAATTTCATGGGGTGTTTGGCAGGTACAAAAATACAATGGTATTTCAATACTCTGTATTTTTATTCTCTATATTTATTCATGGTGTCCTTCCTATAAGTGTATTAGTATAAGGATAACCTATTCTTTTTTATAAAATTCCATACTTGTACAAAAATCAAGCTATGGTTTAACAACATTTAGATTTTACTATGTTACTTTTTTGTTAATATAAGTAATAATATAATTTGAATTTTGAGTATATCCAGTTAACTTCAAGGTACTATCTATTAGTCAAAGAAAGGAAGAAATTCTTGGTCTAACTTATTCATAATACCTTATCATTAATTACATCCAAAATGACAGTCATGTATTCAAGTAGAAAAAAACAACAACTTTGAGCTTTTCCAAACACCCAGTATTTCCATAAAAACTCGGTTTTTTTATTCCATAGAATACTTTCATTTTCAACACAAACTGAGTTTTATTATTCTTTGTCATGCCAAACAGGGCCTAAGGCTCTGTTTGGCAGGAACGGAACTGGTCCGTTCCCCCATACAAACGACCGTTTCCTTCCGTTTCAAAACGGTTGGAGTAAATCCAGTATTTGGTAATGTAGAAAAACAAGAACCGTTCCGTTCCAAAGTGGATCTTGGCAACCAGGTTTGCAACAGTAGCTGGTCTCCCACTTAGGCTAGTTTTGTATTAAAAATTTTTTGTAATGTATAAAGACATCTTAATTAAAAATAATAACCAGATTATTCCCTATACATCATATTTTCCACTGGCACCTCCGAAAACAACTCATACACCTCCAAGATGGCATCTCACCCCAATATGAGCACAATTCATACAGCCATAATTCAAAGACGGATTCATATCGCAATTACCTCTGCTCTCTATTCTCATCTATTCCTCTCTAAAGAACCTGTTCATACATCTATTCGAACTGGAATGATTTATACTGCTGAAATCCTGCAAGCACATCCTCGTCGTACTCTAGAGGTTATTCGTATGCCAATTACAACATTGTTAGACCTTCGAGACTGGGTAATTGAGAGGGGATTACTGGTGTCTACACGTCAAGTAGCTGTGGAAGAACAACTTGTATTGTTTTTATGGATTATTGGACATGGAGCTACAAATAGGGAAGCCCAGGAACACCTTCAGCATAGTGGAGAAACAATTTCACGGTTAGTATTAATTGCACTATAATATTTATATATGAAATGTTTATTATTCTAATTATTTTACAGCTATTTTCATCAAGTTCTAAAGGCTCTCCTGCCTCTGTATGAAGCATTTGTACATCTTCCACCAAACAATATTCCTGCAAAAATACGGAAAAATTGGGGAAAGATGTCCAATTTTAAGGATGTTCGTGGAGCAATCGATGGGACACACATTTTGGCCCATGTACCACGAAACCAGCAGGGTCCCTATCGTAACCGGAAATGTACCCTCTCGCAAAATGTTCTTGCTGGATGCAGCTTGGATATGTACTTTTTCTATGTATGTTCTGGCTGAGAGGGTTCAGCCAATGATGCTCGAGTATTAGAAAATGCTGTGATTCATGGATTTCCAAGACATGAAAATACAGTTTATCTTGCAGATGCAGGATATGGTCTTCGTCCTGGGTTTTTAACACCATACCGTACCGTACGATATCATCTGCGGGAGCAAGCACAAGCTCATTTACGTCCACAAACTAAGGAAGAGCTTTTCAACCTACTTCATGCTCAGTTACGAAATGTTATTGAACGTATCTTTGGAGTTTTACGGAAGAGGTTTCAAATTCTCAATACAGCTCCAGAGTTTGACCTTACCACACAAGCTCAACTTATATTGGTAGTTTGTGCATTACATAACTTTATTTGACACCGGGCAAATGGAGAGGAGGATCAATTTTACCAGGATGCTGATTCATCCTTGGAAAACATCAATCACTCTGAGGAATCAAATCCAAGTTATGAGGAGGAGGATGAAGGAAATGTTAGAGATGCACAAGATATGGGAGAGATGAAATAAGATTGAGACAAACGTGCAACACAAATGTGGCTTGATTATGTACAATACCAAAACCAGTCACAGTAGACTAACTGCTGTAGAATTCCTAGGCCTTGTAACGTACTATTTGACCTCTTAACCAAAGCTCCTGATCTTCACCTTCCTCTAATGCTAAAAACACTTCTGCCTTAACTGGGTTCTCAAAAAGCTCATATCCAGTAACAATATCTTGTGTTGACCACCCTGGTCTTCCTTTATACTTTTGTTGAAGCTTTGATACAGCTTGCTGAACAACTGATTGGGATGCTGCAATAGTAATTGGTGTAGTGGCCATCCCTTCAACAGCAGTGATCAGCCGTTCAGAAACACTCCTTGGAGGTTGTCAAATATGTCCCAGTGGTGCTAGCCTTCTCCGCTTATGTTGATGAGGACTTGTATCGGGACTGGTCTGCTCTGGATCAGCCTGAGTTGCTAGATCTGACCTAAGGGGCAAAGGAATCGTGATTTGTTGTAATTTTGTATGGCCAGGATAGATTGCATGACCACCTGTTGCTTGAACTCCCTCCATGATTTCCGCCAACTCAATTGCATTTGCAAGTGGTTTGTCACGAAACTCTCGTATTCCAGGCTGTTTTTTTATTTCTTCCTCCCATACTTCATCTGGTGCAGTAACCGCACCAGTCTTAAGATCAACCCCAAAACCACTCAAATCTTTCAACCTGGTCCACATCTTCCATTTTTTCTTCAAGGTCTCCAATTTGCCTTGACATCTCTCACCTGTTACAGGAGCCCCAGGTCCAGCAATCAGAAGAACTGTCTCAGCAATCTCATCACAAACTTCCATCTTTAGCCCATTATCAGATCGTTTTCCAGTCCTAATAGCTTGAACTAGTTCTCGCAACAACACAGATGTCATTTCAGGAGACCATTCAACTGGATGCCGGTGAGGCTTGTGGGTTTTCTGCTTGCTTCCCGTAAAGGAGGAAGGTACTTCACAGGGGTCTAGAACACGAATTTCAGATAAATTTTCTGAAAAAAATGTTAGAACTTATCATAGTAACTATAGTGATATTTAACTTACCTTCAATCTCGCAGGAGTGGTTAGAACACTCAGGTTGATGCCCACTTGGTAGTATACAGGCAGTATTTTGACTTGCAGTAGTATCTGAGTCTAACTGTATTGATTGAGTCTTATCGCTCAAGGTTTGTGTATTCAAAGGTGAACTACTATTTTAAATTAGTAAACAATTATGATAAGTATGGTGAAAGTGGTAACACACTGGTATTGAGGAGAATGCTCGTCCATCTTGGTATCTGTGAATAAGTTGAAACCTCTTTAGAGAAGGGAGAAGTTTTCACGAATGTTAAGATAAGATAGTTTTTTTTGTACAGGAGACTGAGAGATTTGCACATAATATAGAATTTATTTCATTAGTTTACAAGAAAAAGAAAAAAGCAGATTTATTAGGGTATGGTATTCAAAATTACTCTGCCCTATAGAGTGTTGCCAGGGGTTAAAAAAAATTCTCAATTGAAGGTAAGAGAAACCGTTTCGAAACAGAAGTGCTCCATTTCACCTGTTGCAACCATTTTGAAATTGACCGTTCCCGCCAAACAGAGCCTAAACTGTTTCCGGGAAATGGAGATGGAATGAAACATCCTTCAACGTCGATAGGCGTTTTGGTGGCTAGATTAGGAGACTGTCTTACTCGTGCAGTAAATTTATCTGGATGTGTTCTACAGATGCTGTGGCATACCGAACGAGTGTCAGTATTAATCTAAATTACGAGTAGAGATTAGGGGCCTTTCGAACCTTTAAAGTGGCACTCGCAATGCCTATGAAGGAACTCCCCACCGCCAAGAAAACTGACTCACGACAATTTGATGCCGTCTTTCCTCGTCCAGGCCCGCATCAAAACGGGGTCTCTACAGTCAAAAATTCCCTGGCCAGGATCGACGCCGTGCCGACATCATCCTTTCGCTTGTGTGCTATGGATGGAATTACGACCAGAGACCGCCTTCCACCTAAAAGGATAACAACACTTCCTATCATGCCCAAGTGAATCACCCGCAGATCCTCGGGGACAGGAGGCGCTTACCGGCCGGATTACCATCGAAGGACCTCAGCCATACCCCTTCAAGCCGAGCGTTCCTCTGGATTTCCAGCTGAAATTCCGAGCTATGAACACGAATGAAGGGATAATAAATTACCGCCTTGCAACCAAACTCATCCAATCTCACGATATTATATATCCTCAAGAATCCAGCAATCGCACAATACCCCCTGGAGCAGCAATGAATACCACAACAGACTGATAGAACTAAGGATATCATACAGTGAGACCTACACAAGTAGACTTTCCCCTACTAATGCATTATAAGTTATAGCGCGAGGCCCAATAATGTCCCCAAAGTCAAAGAAGCACCCACGGTGTCTAGCCTTCATTCCATGCGTCCAACCACAGAACAACCTACAACCAAACCTCACATACATCACAATTCTTTCCCCCAAAAGAGAACTCGGATTCTCCGAATTCTCTTTTTTTAAATACGTGGATTGATCTAGGTACTGGACTAGGGCGCATCCATTGTATATCATACAACATAAGTTATGCTCTCCAACCCTCCAACCCTACAGCTCCTCTGGTAAGATACGGAACCTATCATACCTCCCTCAAAATGAGAAAAGGGCAGGCGGAAAAGTAATTCACCACCAGTAGGCGCCAACAAGAGAAATAACAATCAATCCCCACTTCCATCTCCCTGGTCATAGGATAACGGGGCAGGCGCTTGCATCGTTTTAAGGACCAAGAAAGCTTTGACGATAAATCGATATCGGTAGTCGAGGTCAGCCCGGAGGCACTACTAACCTTTGGAGAGGTTTTTATATATACAACTAGTTAGGCGTGCCCCCCCCCCCCTCCCCAAGCAGAGAACAAGGAGCCAATGACCCTGCGGTGGGTTTTGCTTTCCATATGGTACTGGCAGCTGCGTGTAGGCACAGGAGCCATTAAGTTACGGAAGGAAGGTGGAGTTGTGTGATATTGGATTCCTCCACTGGGGTCATTTCTATGAAATCGTGTAGCCCCAGGGAGCGAACGGGTCCGTAATCTAGATTACGCAGAGGAGCACTATATACCAGTAACTAAGTCAGTTGCCTACCACACGGGGTTAGAGCTCATGATTGCCCAAGTGCACTTTTATGATCTTTCCAGTGTCCCCTTTTCCATTTCTTCCCCCCTTTATTTTTTCCTAGTAATCTTCAAGTGGGAGAGGATCAGAAATAATTGTGGAAACTTACGATAAGTTAATAGTCAGGCGGTTGAGTAAGTATGCTTTAGTATTCATTATCAATGCTCAGCGAGCGAATGCCGAGGTTCGAGGTCTCGAATGGGGGGGGGACTTGCTAATTATAGATAAAGTTACTTAATAATGCCAGAATTGAACTAGCCACAAGTTACCCCCAATTGGGCTGACTGGACCCTTTTCCCCAACCACCGCTCACTTTGTGACTTTGTGGACACTTCTCTCTTTCTTTCTTCCTCCTCCCTAACAAGTTCAGACTCTACCACCACAACAACAACAAAAACAACAATGCACTTCACCAAACAACCACCCATGACAGGTCCCCTCCCCCCCTTCCACTCCACTCCACTCCGTTCCTACCAGCTAACCTTTCCCTCCCTCCGCGCGCGCACAGGCCCCACCAAACTCCCCCCAATAGTCCTCTCGGCCCCCAGCGGCACGGGAAAATCCACCCTGCTGACGCGACTATTCGCCTCGCACCCGGAAACCTTCGGCTTCAGCGTCTCGCACACAACCCGGAAACCGCGGAGCGGCGAGGTTGAGGGCGTGGAATACCACTTCGTCACGCCCGAGACCTTCGAGTCCCTGATCGAGCGCGATGCGTTCATCGAGCACACACGCTTCAGTGGCAACTACTACGGCACTAGCGTCGAGGCCGTCAGGGCCGTCGCCGAGCGAGGGCGCGTGTGCGTGCTGGACATCGAGATGGAGGGCGTAAAGCAGGTGAAACGCACGGATCTGGGCGCCAAGTTTGTGTTCTTGAAGCCGCCGAGCTTGGAGGTGCTCAGGAGTAGGCTTGAAGGCAGGGGTACCGAGACCGAGGAGAGCTTGGGAAAGAGGTTGGAGAGGGCGAGGGTCGAGTTGGAGTTCGCGGAGGTGCCCGGTGTGCATGATAAGGTTATTGTGAATGATGATTTGGATAAGGCGTATGAGGAGTTGGAGGGGTATATTTTGAGTCTTATTTCTTAGGGTTGTCGTTGTTGGGTGTAGATATGATAGGATAATACGCATGGCACAATAAAATCTAGAAGCCGAATATTACTAGAGGCCTCTTCTTACCCCAAGCTACACCGCCTATTGCACGCTTCCACTGTTAAATAAAACGTGCAGCCACAGCATGGCCATCAGGACACTATAGTAAATTTAATTGGACCGACTGACCAAGCAAGCCAAGTGAGTGTCCAAAAAGAAAAATATAAAAAGAAAAGGATAGTTACCACCTAATTTAATTTACACCTGTGCCAGTACGAAGAATAAAACAAAGGTACATAGCGAGACAAGAAGAGACCCCCATACCAATCAAACGACAAGAAAAGAAAGGGAGAGAGAAAGAAAGAGTAATTACATCAAAATCAGGAAAGGATGAATGATCACATGATAAAGAGAAAAGGGAAGGAAATGAAGCAAAGACTACGACAAGCTTTATGATAATAATGTAGTGGTAAAAGGACAAAAGAAAACCCACCCATTCATCTACCCACTCATCAAGGCAACAGCACATCTCACTCCCTAGAAACTAACAACTCCCCCTCCCTCCAAATCCCCATTAACAGAGCATACAAGTCCCCGCCTCTCTCCCTCTCCCTCCCCCTCTCAGCAACACTCTGTCTCGCAACGGCTGAATCATCCTTAGCTCCTATACTACCACCGCCTCTCACCCCACCGCCAACTCTCAAACTTCCAGTTTCCTTCAGGCTCTGGGAAAGGCCCATGTTGTTCCCACTTGCGTCGCTGGCATGGCCCCTTTTGGGGATTCGCCGGTCGGGGTTGCGGCCAATGGCTGCTCTCTCCAGGGAATCCAGGATCGGGTTCATGAAGCGGCGGGTGTTGAGGTACTCGCGGTTCACGTGTTCGAATTCCTTCGTGAGGCGGGCCGGGTGGGTTGCGCGGGAGAGTGAGATGGAGAGGGGTACGGAGGGGGAGTGGTGGTGAGAAGAGGAGGCAGGGTGGTAGGTATGGTGGTGGTGGGACTGGGAATGGGTTGGTGGGTTTTGGTGGGTTTGGGAGAGGTATGCGTGAGGAGGGATCGCCATGGGGGGTTCATACTGGGAGGATTGGCGTTGGAGCCAAAGCTTTTGTTGGGTTCTGGAAGGTTTGGCTGCGATGGTAGCAGGGGTAATGGTGGGAGTGGTCGATGGAGGGTGTGTTGGTGATTTCGGGGTAGACGAAGAGTTGTTGGGATTTGGGGTTGAGAATGAGGTTGCGGTGGACGGGGGAGCTCCGTCTCTTCCCCCGGTACCCCTGCTGCGACGGGCGCCGCCGCCGGAAGATGGGGAGATGGAGGTTGAGGTTCCGCCTTGTGAATTTGAAAAGTCTATGAAGCGAGAGGTTAATGGCTGGTCATGAGAGTTGGGAAGCGAGTGGGTGGGGGTTATTGGTGCGTTTGGCGGAGGAGGGGTATGGTGGATTTTGGTATGCATGGAGATTGACTCGTGGTTCACTTGTGGGGGGATTATTGCGCTGGGGGGTTTTGTGTGCGGGAGGAGGAGGTGGGTGTGCAGTTCCTTTGCGGTATGAAGTTGAGTATTGCCATTCCTGCCATTCTGAAGTTGACTTTGTGATTGTGATTTCGATTGTGCTGGTGTAAGCTGGGATGTATGCTGTTGATGTTGCTTCCGTTGTAATGGCTGTGATGATGATGATGCGGTTGTCGTCAACGGTGCATCGCCACCTCCCCCACCAGCACCGCGTCCAGAACTCATCTCGACGGCAGAAGCCTGTCCAGACGAAGCCGTAATCTTCTTATTCATCCCGCCCTCTCTGGATTTCGACCGCGATCTATCCCTCTTGCTATTCTTGTTGTTATCCTCACGGGCACTTGCTCTTCGACTTGTGGGATGCGACTTCCGACGCACCCCCTCTCGTAGTTGGGGATCGAGAGATTTAGCACTGGGCGACTTGGCCAGTCCCTTGGACGCCGAAGCGCCGCCTCCAGAAGCACCACCACCGCCACCACTTGCGCTCCCGTCTGGTACAACCTCAACCCCTTCCTCTTCTCCCTCTATCAGTTCTTGTCCCTCCTCGACCTTATAACCCCCCTCACCACCACCTTCGCCAACCTCAAACGTCAACTTCTTTCCACCACCCTTCACCTTCTCACTTCCAGCACCTTTCACAGGCGATGTCCCCAGCGGCGTCAACTTCCCAAGCTTATTTAAATTCCGCCCATGCGATGGGACCCGCGTATGATGACGAGAGTGTGCACCTCCGACAACAAATTGCTTCTTGTGTGTCCGCTGGTGCTGCTGATGGTGATGGTGCGCGGATTTCTGATGCTGTTGTTGCTGCTGTTGAAGTTCGTCGTTAGAGGATGTGTCTCCTCCGCCGCCACCGGTGGATGTATTGCCCTGAACCAAAGAAGTGGAAGATTGGCGGTTGTCGAGGAGGGGTTGGCACTCGTCGGACATTTTCTGAAATATTATTATTCTTATTATTTCTGGGGGATTTTTTTTTTCCGCCCAGTTTGGTGCTTTTCCTTTTTTCTCCGAGATGAGAAAAACGTAGGGTGCTAGACAGGTTGCGAGGACGGTAATATATATATATATATATTGTTAAATTTGAGCCGAGCCGGTTCTGAAGAAAATGTTTAAAAAGGGGAAGCTTCGTGGGTATGTGGGAGATAAGCAGGTAGGTATAATAGGTAACAAGGCAGTAGTGATGGCGGGCTGCTGCAGGAGAGGACAAGTAAATTAAGGCCCGAACGGGGGACGAGGAAGGAAAAAAACGAAGCGTAATTTAGGGCCGAAGGCACAGAAGAACCAATACCGTGGCCCTCAAGCACCGCAGCGCTACTCTCGTGACGCCACCACAAACACGACACCTTGCGAGAAGAATTCAAAACAAAACCCAAAAGAAACAAACAATCCTCAGTCGAAACGGCGGAGAACGAAGAATGGAGAAGTGTAAAATGTAGAATGCGAGATGAAGGAAAGGGTTTGCGTTGAGAAAGGGAACAAAAACTGTTGAGATCGTACCGTCGCCCACCGCCGCGCACAGAAAGAGAAAGAAAAAAAAAAAAAGAATAAAGAATAAAAAAAAAGTTTTTATAGACCTCCTCCGGGTGCTACCCTACCTATGATACTGAAGACCGCAAAACTCGTAATTATATACACGTTTGGTACCTTATCGGTATTTAATACGCAGGTTAGACAATTGTGCTGGCACCAAACGGTAAACCCCCCAACCCAAATCTAACAATTAATTAATTTAATTTAATTTAATTATTATTATTTTTACATAAGTTGTTCGAGCAAGTTACTGTGCAATTGCCAATCAACTCCTTGCCTTCCTGCCTGCCCGCCTGCCTGTCGGTAGGTAGGTACATCATAACCGTACTATTCCGGGCGAGTAATGGAGGAGGAGGAGGAAAGAAGTGCGAAGACTTCAATCTCCACTCCTCACTCCCCCGCTCACGCACGTGGATATCTTACAATTGGGGGGTCGGGGGGGGGGGGGGTTAAAGGGCTTTCATGACATTATGTGATGAATTTTTGTTGGGTGGAGGTGAGTGGGCACAAGGAGGGGGGAAGCCGATGAGGAGAGGAGAGGATAAAGTCCCGCAAGTGAGTGAGTGTGTTCCTGTAGGATGGTCGGTCTCACGTTATTCTTGCCGTAATTGTAATTGTCGAGGGAAATTGGTGCGTATGATACCGGGAAATGGGAGAGGGAGAGAGTGAGTGAGATATTTAGTGGGTCAACCTGAGTTTGGTTGATTGTATCAATAGGTTAAAAATGGCATAGGGTGGAGTTACCGGTTATCATAGGCTTCTGACTCCCCGAATGTATTTGTCACGGTGGGCAAGGCTCGGTCCCGTGGGGTGGGTGGGGGTTGTGTGCATGGACGAGTGAGATGTTGTGGTTCTTTAATTGGCTGCGCGGCTATCGTATGCTTGCCAGAGTGAATCTGGAGGCAATAATTCTCGAATTTGGAGGCAGAGAGAGAGAGAGGGAGAGGAGGAAAGGAGAAAGATAAAAAAGCTCCTGATTGACCTAGTCCACGGAAACAAAGTACTGTGTGTGTGACTCGTTATGTGGGGAGTTGAGAGGGGTGGGAGCAGTTTTTTCGAATGCATTAACTTATTATCTATCATAATATTATCAACCTCATTTTTACGCCCTCTATAGAGCCGGTCTACGCATCTACTGTATCCCACGACAGTTTACGTGCCCAACGGCAGCCTGACCGAATAAAACTGAATTGGAATTGCGAAACATCTAGGCTACCTCAACTGTGATAGAACTATCCCCCGCCAAGTTAGTTAAATACAAATCCCATTCCCATCCCCGGGGAGAATTTAAAAAAGAGAATGGTTCAAAAAAAAGAAAATAAATAAATAAATAAATAGAAACAGAAAAACAGAATAAAAGGAAAGGAAGAAGGAAAGAAAGAGAGGTTAGAACGGAATAACAATAAAGCCCCCCCCACAATTCCCAGTCTCAAACACAAAGTAAAAAGTAAAACCTGACATGAAGAAGAGATCGGTATGTAAACCCATCCATCCGTCCACCCATCTACCCCACCCACATAACACAATTCTAAAATAACAAAAGGTATTTTTTTTGAAATGAAATTGAGAGATAAGAAAGGGAAGAAGAAAAAGGAAGAACTAGACCTAAAAGTACAATTACCTTCAACCCTCTCTCTGCCTTCGCCCTGTAAGGTACAAAAGAAAAGAAACTAGTCATCAACCCCCACCTCATCTCCTTCAACCAACAAATCTGCGATATAAGTTGCAAGCGGTTTATTAACCGCCATGATCTCGAACAGAATAGGTCTCTCCCCGCTCATCAGCTCCTTCCCATTGAACATACCGCGTCTGGCCACATTCCTGAGCACTAACACGGCCGTGAGCGGTATCCCCACGGCCTCGCCGCGGTCGTCGATGCCCGTCTGGTCGCGTCTGATGACTAGCTTGATCTGCTTGGGGTCTTCGGACCAGCCGTTCGCTGAAGGGTAACGCGAGGCAGGGTGGGTGCTTTTGGGTGGATTGGTTTCAGGCATGTGAGTTCGCACGTGGGCTATTACTTTTCTCCTGTCCGAGTCGCCGGCGGGGTGGAAGCGCTCGCAGCCGCCCCAGTTGCAGAAGAGCTTTGCTTGTGGTTGCTGTGTGGAGTCGGGTGGAGAGAGGTGGTCTTGCAGAATGTGTACCCAGAGGTCTTGTGGGGTTGCGAGTTGGGCGGGGCATTTGGTGGGTTGGGTTGGCTGTTGTTGTGCTTGTGCGGTATCGGTGCCGGTGGTATTGTTGATATTGGTGACGGTGATCCATTTACATGCGAGGTAGACCTGACCCTTTACAGACATTGGCGTTTCCCGAGGTTTTATGCCCTTTATGATGAATTTTTGGCCGCCGCCGGGTATGGGGAGGACCATTGCTGAGGCGTTGTTGAAGGCTACGCTTACGTTTTTTATGAATTCTGCGGCGGGGAGAAGAGGGCGGCCGGCGGCGACATATTCGGTGAAGCGGGCTTGATACGCTTGCCAGAGCGCTATCTGGGTGATATCGGCATGTTTGTCTTCCTCGAAGCAGCATCTCATCCTAATGCGCGCCACTGTCAGCGATAGATATAATATATGCATGGTGTATATAAGGACTAACCATTTAGCTGCACGATCTGGCTCAGCATAACTCAACAAATCATTGACAATTTCCTGGGGTAAATTAGGTATCACTGTGGTCTTGGTGATAGGCTTCAGTGAGCCCGTCAAATACACAACTTGATCTCCTGGAATGGCCTGATGCAACAGTAATCTTGTCAATTGCTTGATTATCTCAATTCCGTCAGGCGGCTGTATCAGCTTCTCCACGTTTTCTTCATTTGTAGTGTATTGGTATAAGAAGTCGAGGCAAGCCGAAACCAAGTCTTCATCTTCTAGCATGATGAGGGCCTTAATTCTGTCGATTGCGAGTTTATCGATCTGCCCTATACAGTTGGCCTCATCACGACCCATAACGAGCCTGCAGATTGCCCTGAGTGAGCCCAGAACTAAGCCACGGTCGTCGGAGAGGAGGTTCGCATGAAGGGTTGGGAACAAGTCATCGTCGACCGCAAGTGAGAAGTGGATCGCCATGGCTTCAACCATATCCAATATGTAGTGTTTTAATTCTATAAGACATCTCTGTCCGGGAAGGTTCATACAGGCAACTATGATTTGCCGACCATTCTTGAGGCGGGAAAAGTATCTAGCGTTATCGGGTTGTAATGACATGTTGCGGAGCACGAGAGCGGCCTCGTTTATTTTTTCGAGCAGCTTCACGAATTTTGAATCACCCAAAAGCTCTCCGGCGCCCTCGAGGTAGCAGGTGCCAACAAGAGTTTGGATGGTGGCAAGTTTCTCGAAAAGAGCCTCGGAAAGTCCTGGATATGCCTCCGCACGTAATTCATCACCGGATTCAAACGATATCCTAACCAACTGACTTAGGGAGTAGTCAACTTCACTAGGGATGCCAGACTTGAGACCCATCGAGATTCGGACCATTGGGGCAGCTCCCTGATGTCCGGCTAATTCCCATAATCAGCATGCTTCCACCCTAACTGTGCAGAATGAGTGGATGTATATACCCCCATGTCTATTAGGATTCGAGATAAGAACCTCTGCCGCCCTCCGCTTGTGGTTTACAAACTCATGCGGGGCATTCCGAGGCGTTGCGACTGGTCTCCCGATGGGTGCATTGATGCTACTGGATTGAAAGCTAGGAAAATTCAACGTGTTGCCGTTCATTTGGCTGTTCGGCGAGCCCTGTTGCCCCTGCTGACGGGAATCGGAGGATGTGCGGGAAAGATGTTGGCGCTGTGGGGTCGTATCGGGGTTGTAAAATGTTCTCGGTGTAGGCGCTTGCCGGAGGCCTATGGGATAATCCCGAACTTGAATATTAGGTCATGTGAAAATTGTATCCACAAAGATTAGGGGAGGGGAAGCATACTTCGTTTCTCGGAGGGCGGAGGGGTTGGCGATTTATCACCCTTTGATTCCGGGCGTGGCGATGCTTCCTGAAAGTCTTCCGCCGTCCTGGTCATTATAGAACCTCCTGCGGCGGACCTCTCTTCCAACCACTCCTTGGGTGGGGGCTCTTTCCCGAAGAAATTAGAGATTTCGTACGCCCTATGAGGGTTTAGCAGAGGACACACCAGAAAAGTTCAGGGAAGAGGGCGGAAACCGCGACCAACGTACGCGAGATTTTTGTAGTAGATGGTCTTGAGGAGATAACCAGCGTTGGTATTGTTTGCAGCAAGCTTGTACCCCAGCGCGAGGTCCCTCCAAGCGCCTTGATAATTTCCAGGGCCACGGTCAACGCCCACCCACACAGCAAGGCGATGCTAACAGAGAGACGCACCTTTTTCTTCAGTAACCTTATCGTATCCGCCCAATGATGTAACCTTATTGTAAAGCTTGCGCAAGTCAAGAAGTTTACGACCCAACTCAGGTTCGATGGTGAGGGTGGTCCTGTGAAGCGGAAAAGTGGCGGAAAGAAAAGGGTCGCAGTTAGCCCTAAGCTCCCCCCAAAGCAAGCGGCAGAATGGGAAAGGGCAAGCAAATGGACGGACGGCGATGCGAATGAAAAACCCTAAAAAACATGGGGGATGCCCTGACTAACCCTCGTTTCTGGTGATACGCTCTGAGCTTATCGATGAATTCATTGTATTCCGGGGTCTTTTCAATTTCAGTGCTAAGGACTCGATTCGCCCAAGGACCTTTGCGCTCGCGCTCGGGTGTCGGTGCGGCCATCCTGTCTCCTTTCCGTCCCTATAGACTATTGTCCTCTACTTCACCGCACGTTTCTGAACACTGGCTGCGTGGATATTCTTTTTTTTTTCTTTTTTTCTCTCTCTCTCTCTTCAAGGATTCGCAGACTTTGGAGGGTTTATGTGTCAGGATCGCAAAGACAGGGGGGGAGGTATTCGGGCCGCTAAACTGATTATGAGGGTCGAGGGGGCTGGGGGTTCTGTCCTGAGAGTGAATAGCAAACGGCGAGTTGTGAATATCTATCGCAGTCAGGGACGGCTTAACTGGGGAAGACGCGTTGGAACTTGGCTTGTAAGCACCAGAAGTCAAGAAAAGTCGTCGCTTCTTGCTTTCTCTTTCTCTTTCCAGCGCGCGTCCTGATCTCTGCTTGTCAATTTCCTTTTACGACCGATTTAATCACATTTAGGCAGAGCAGTTTGGTGTGTCAGCATGACCGTTTATGGCAAGTTTAGTGGAGTGGATATGGGCACAAATTGCCTTTTTTAGGCATAAGACCATGGTGTCCCATTTTGGGACATGATGGGAATGAGGCTCTGCTATAAGCTTTTCGGTTGGCTTGGGTTGAGTGACAGCCATCCAGATTGTACCCTGTGGATCACCAAGATTAGAATTCGGTGGTTGACATCCCCACACTCTGCAACTCAGGAAAATAACGAGGATAATAATTAACCTGCCGGCAACGGTGTAACAACAAACCCTCTGCCCTTATCCGTCAACCAGCAATATCAACCCGCAATATCAACTCCGATACCAACAAATCAGCCTATAACCTGGACCAATCCACTCTCTTTCCAGGAATCTCAACTCATTAGATACTTTTTGATAAGAAGAGGGACATAATATCATACTTGGGGGTAAATTGCTGGCCTGTCTCATCATCCGGGGGCCAAGGAAGATGAACGCACAACCATGCTCAGCCATGCCTACTCTAGCATGTATCATATTATACCGGTACCATACAGTTCTCTCTCTCACATACTAAGTGTGCACATACCTACTATAGCTTCCCAGCCCCGTCAAAGCCATCATAGAAATTTCCCTCAACCATTAAAACTCACAGATTACAATGAACCGACATAAACCAACTGGCAACAAACACCGTTCCAAAAGGCATGATATATATACACCAGCAGATCGATGTGATCAACAGAATTTTTTAAAAATGGAAAAACAAAAAAAAAAAAAAAAAAAAAGCCGGAAACTATGAGACCTCCCTCCACTTGTATATCGCATTATTATCCCGAGTCCCCCTCGACCAGTTCCTCCACCAACCAACCAACCAACTTCATCCTCTTCACGCGTCGGTCGGCCAGTCAGTCCCCTCAGGCAGGCGAGCAGGCAGGTTGTATTTCAAGCCCCACCTTCTTCCTCCTGCCAGTGGTCAGCAGCACGTACTCCACCACCATTGTGAACATGAGTATCATAAGTAGTGGTAAGTAAAGGGAGTGAGGAGCCGATTTACAAAAAAAAAAAAAAAAAGTGGTTCTACCGTCCTAACTTGGCAAGTCAGTTGCAAAACTCTATCCATATCTAACGAGCAGGCACCCATGTCGTCTAAGGGTTTTTTTTTCTTCTCTCGGATTTTTGGGAGCTGCTAAAGTCACGATCTCTAACAGTAGACACGCAAGTAGATAAAGTAAGAATAATAAAATAAAAATAAAATAAAAATCATACCGCTCCATCAAGGCCTCTCACAACTCGCCCCCTTTCGGAATAAAAAGGTCCCAAAAGGCTCATATAAATGGCCACAAGGATCGGCTCGTGTCCCGCGTGAATCGCCAGTTACACCCTACACCAGAAGCATACCACCCCCCCCCCCAGAATCCCTAATTACTCCTATAGTCACTGCCTTTTCCACGGTTCCATGGCTCATTTGGTTAGAGCGTGGTGCTAATATTTCGTATGTTACGCCAGGGTCGGGAGTTCGACCCTCTCTGGAACCAGTAGCGTATGATATCTTGCATCCTTGATTTTTCACTCCCCCATTCTTTTGTTTCCCGTAAGTTGGGATTTGTCTTTTGGAAGCCGTGGAATTGTGCATATACAGTATGTTTGTTTGTAGAAGTTGGGCTATTTTGCCTTGTGATTCGTGTCAGGGCTTCTGTGTACGTGGGCCGGACCACGTACGATGCGGTGTTCAGAATGATACATGACTATCATACAGAGAGAGAAACCCTCGAACCATGGAGCACAGCACAGCGTCACTAAAGGTGTTGGAAACCTTTGATGGAAAATTTGGTTCATTTATATCTACCACCGCTAGAAAAAAAAGGAGCTAATCCAAGATATCTCATCACACCGTCCGCACGCCTAGCCTATGAAGGGGAAAAAAAAAAGAGCAAAATCCATCCGAGTGATAAACTATGACTACCCAACCCACCTCCTCGCGCTTCTAAAAATTCTTACCCAGGGACCGACACCACCCCAATCCCCTCTCCACCCAGCGGGCTTGTAGCTAACCGCCTCCTGTAGAACAGACCTCTCCGGATGCGGCATCATAGCCAACACCCTCCCATTCGTATTCCTGACACCGGTGAGCCCGTCGGGGGATCCATTCGGATTGTACGGGTAACGGTTGGTATGATTGCCTCTGTTATCCACATACCGGATGGAGGCGAGACCGGAGGCCTCAAGGTTGAATTGCTGACGAGCGGATGCGAAAGTGGCTTTGCCCTCGCCGTGAGCGGTGGCAACGGGGAAGCAGGCCCCGTGCATTCCGTTTAAGAAGACGCTAGGCGCCTCGAGGCCAGGGGGGTTTGAAATTTCGACCATGCAAAGGCGGGCCTCGTACTGCTCGCTTATGTTACGCTCGAATGTTGGCCAGCATTCGGTTCCCGGGATTAAGGAGGTGAGTCTGCTGAAAAATTGACAGCCGTTACAGACACCCAGTGCGAAAGTGTCATTGCGCGTCTTGAAGAAGTTTTCGAATTCCTGTCTGGTCTTCTCGTGCAGGAGAACGGATTTGGCCCATCCTGCACCGGCGCCTAGTACGTCGCCGTAGGAGAATCCACCGCATGCAGCGAGACCGACAAAGTCCGAGAGTGAGGTGTTCCCACCAATTATATCTGTCATGTGAACATCCACAGGTGTGAACCCGGCCAGCTTGAAGGCAAAGGCCATCTCGGCGTGGCCATTTACGCCTTGTTCGCGGAGGATGGCTACACGGGGTTTGGAAGTTGGGGCGGTGGTGAAAAGGAGATTGGAGGGGGTGAATGTGAGGGTGTAGGTTAGGCCTGGGTCGTCGTCGTCGAGGATGTTCTCGTATTCTTGGTCAGCGCAGACAGGATTATCACGCAGACGTTGCATTGCGTAGGAGGTTTCGGACCATTTCTGCTGGAGCTCTCCTCGGGGAGTGCGGCCGTAGACGACTTCCCCATCATGGTCAATGCTAATAGTTTGGTCATCGGAAGTCTTGACCACTCCAATGGTATAGAGGTATTGTTTTGGGAACCCAGAATTCCCAAAGGCATCCTCAAAATCTCCAAGATTAGATTCGCTGACCTGGAAGACTGCCCCAAGTTCCTCGTTGAACAAGGATGCTATAATGTCTTTGGGGTTTCTACTATCCGCATAGCCCCTCAGTTTTATATCGACACCGACCCTTCCCGCAAATGCCATCTCAACGATCGCAGTAAATAGACCACCATCACTCCTGTCATGATATGCGTGGACAATCCCAAGCTCTCTGAGCTTCTTGCACGCATCAAAGTAGGTCCTGATAATCCCAGCGTCTCTCACATTGGGAGCATCAGTTCCAACTTGTTGGAATACCTGACAAAGAGCACTCCCACCCATCTCCTTCTTACCAAGGGCCAAATCGACAAAAACAAGCTCCGATCCTTTCTCCCGCTTCAGTGCAGGAGTCCAGGTCTTGCCAACATGTTCAACAGCAGCGAAGGCAGTGACAACGAGTGATACCGGTGCAGTGACCTCCTTATCTTCACCATTGCTCTTCCACTTCATCTTCATACTCATAGAATCCTTTCCAACAGGAATGCTAATCCCCAGCTTTGGACAAAGATCAATTCCGACAGCTTCAACAGCTTCGTATAAAGCCGCTCCCTCACCAGGGTGACTACCGGCTGCCATCCAGTTTGCCGACAACCGGACACGCTTTAGGCCGCCTTGGATGTCTGCCGCGGCCAAATTGAGTATAGACTCTGCAACGGCCATACGTGCAGATGCTGCAGGGGAGATAAGAGCCAGAGTTGGCCTCTCGCCCATTGCCATGGCTTCACCTGTGACTGATTCTTCAGATAGCGAAGTTGCAGTAACGGCGACATCCGCAACAGGGATTTGCCAAGGGCCGACCATCTGATCCCGAGTGACCAGCCCAGTAACAGTCCTGTCGCCAATAGTGATGAGGAAGTTCTTGGAGCCAACACTGGGAAGCTTCAACACCCTATCCACAGCCTCAACCAAGCGGTCTTCCAGGGGTAAATTTTGGAGGTAGGTTTCCAAGCTAGTATCAAACTGAGCATGGTCCAGATCTCGGGTTGCAACATTCCTGTGCATCTTCGGAGGTTTTCCAAACAGCGTCGACATGGGAAGGTCGATGACTTTAAGGTGGTCCCTACTGTCCCTGTCCTTGAGGACTAACCTTCGCTCTGCTTCACTTCCCCCGTCAGCCCTACCAACAACAGAGAACCCACAGCGCTCCCGTTTGGCGATTGTTACAAAGGTCTTCAAGCCGGACTCTGCCACAGCCATGACATACCGCTCCTGAGCTTCGCAACACCATATCTGCAGAGGACTCATTCCTTTATCGGCATTCTCAACCTCTCGAAGCTCAAAAGCAGCCCCTAAACCAGCATCGTGTACCAGCTCCGGAAGAGCGTTCGAAAGCCCACCAGCACCGACATCATGAATAGACCTTATAGGGTTGTCTTTCCCCATAGCTACACAAGCATCAATAACCATCTGTGCACGCCTCTGCTGTTCCGGATTCCCTCTCTGAACGGAAGCAAAGTCGAGATCTATCGATCCCTCGCCGGAAGTAATACTACTAGCCGCACCTCCACCCAGCCCTATCAGCATTGCCGGACCACCAAGAACAATCAAGTATGCCCCCGGCTCGATCATTCCAGCCTCCTTAATAGCATGCACGGGGCGAACAGTCCCCAGCCCACCAGCAAGCATGATAGGTTTGTGGTATCCTCTAATCTCCTTCACGTTTCTATGCTCAACTGTTGTCGTCAGGGTCCGGAAATAGCCCAGGATACACGGTCTCCCAAATTCATTATTGAATGCTGCCGATCCGATAGGCGCCTCAAGCATGATATCTAAGGGGCTGGCAATATGGTGGGGCTTGCCAACGCTCAATTCCCAAGGTCGCTGGTGCCCAGGGATCAAAAGGTCCGACACGCTGAATCCTGCTAGCCCAGCTTTTGGTTTGGATCCCCGACCCACAGCACCCTCATCGCGAATCTCACCACCAGAGCCGGTGGCAGCGCCGGGGTATGGCGAGACGGCAGTTGGGTGATTGTGTGTTTCGACCTTAGCAACGAAATGTACCATTTCCTGTGTAGATATCCACTCCTTCGACTCTGGGTCCGGCGCCCAGTGCACGCCATTATTCCCTTCAAGTACAGCTGCATTATCAGAGTATGCAGAGATGGTGTGATCATGGCTGATTTTATGTGTGTTTCTAATCATCTCGAAGAGAGAGTATGGCTTTGCCTGCCCATCAATTTCCCAGGATGCGTTAAACTGCTTGTGGCGGCAGTGTTCCGAGTTCACCTGAGCAAACATGAACAGCTCGACATCGTAGGGATTCCGAGGACATGGGCCAGCATCAGAGAACGCCTCAAGGAGATACCTCATCTCAAAAGAGTCCAATGCCAGACCCAACGTTCTATTCGCCGACTCAATGGCTTCCAATGGCGAAGCTGCAGAAGATCGAAGATCGACCTGCCCAACCGGAAGTGGCTCATGGGTGCCAAACAACCCTTCGTAATTAGGGGGTTCTGTTTGACATGTCTAGATCGAAAAACACACATCAGCCCCAATCACCTTTCACCCAAAAACAACCAGAGGTTAGGCGAGTATGCACCTGAGTCATACGATCAAACAGCACATTATCCACCCCTCCAAACACCCCACCAAGCCCAACCTCCTTCTCAAACGCCACAGAAAATAAAACTCCCCTCTCAATTCTCTTAACATAGCTCTCCAACCCACAGACATGCGCAATGGACGTCGCCTTCGAAGACCAAGGACTAATAGTCCCCTTCCTGGGAAACACTGAAAGTACCAAAGTATTGTTCATAAAGTCCACCTCCTTCTGACCCTTAGCGTACGCAGTCAATTTCCCAGTCTCCTCGTCATCGCTCAACCTTGAGGACCTGTCGCCATAGTGCAACAACTGGTCTAGGCATTTCCTCTCCTTCGAATTCACATCTTCTAAGATACTCACGTCCACGCCATCCTGGGGGCAGACGTAGTGTATGAAAATTGAGCGGATGGAGACGACCCTGTTGGTGTCGGAGACTGCGGAATCTATGGCCTTTTGGATCTCCTCTAGACGGAACGAGGAATTAGCCGGTGGGCCCGGGAGAGCTAGGTATCTCCGCTCTGGAGGAGAGCTAGCCATCGTATATGGGTGTGTAAAAGTATGGAAGTGTTGATGGCCGGGAGAGAGGAAGAGGAGGGAGAAATGGAGGGGTTGTCGTTGGCTAAAATTTTGGCCGCCCCACCTTGATGGGTAGTGGGGTATGCCGAGGTTCTGCTATAAAAGTAACCCCAGTGCCCATTAGCGGTATCATAATCAAAATGCAAAACCACAGTTTTCGAAACCAAGGATTTCCGCCAGTCACACCAAGGGCTATCATAGATATGCTGTGGTTTAAGAGCGTGTCTACCGTACAGTACGAGTGGTTGTCACCTCCAACCCTCATTTTAACAATAACACACAATTCGGTAATCAGGTTATCATAACGTGACCAAAACAGCGGTTGCTGAAATATTGGTCCGGCCAATATCACCCCACCCTCCATAATAACAACCACTAACTCACATATTAATCACAGTGAAAGCTGTGATAATTCTTGATTGAGGTTGTGCTCGTACTTCTTGCTTCATTATCCCCATCCCCGAGGGTGCATAGGACCCTATATGCTACAGGGAGGCGGACTAAAAACAACATAATATTATGATGTATGGTAGAGGTATCATAAGGAAAAAGGAAAAGTCAACGAAGAAACTCTGTCATAATCAAATACGCAACCGATGCATATTTGAAAGTCAAATTACGAACCTACCATCAATCGCATACCGGTATGATACAAACAAATACGCAATGCAATAAAAAAAAATCAATAAAAAAAAAGTCATCCCTGACCAGTAATCCAGCAGGGGTGCCCAGCCTCGCCATTCACTAATACTACTCGTACATACCTAACTCTTATACACAAAACTACAATTCTCAGGCACATTATCGTGTGTGTGGTGGCCCCGACATGACACTATGACTTGACTTCTTAGTCCAAACCATCAACCACTCGTCATTATTGTGACATTTTGAAGGTCGGAAAAAAACTGGTGGCAACCTACTATCGTATTCTAATCTTGCGGCACGTCCCAGAGACGGAGAACCAGAAACTGTGTCCCTAAGAATTAGCACTACCATCAGCGCAATGAGGAGGAGCTGGGCTAGTTTGTCAATTGACTCGGGGTTGCTCGGAAAAACATTGTTCCTGTCTACTTCAGACACGGTACCCGAGCACCGGTAGAAGGAAGGAAAGAAAAGGAAAAAAATTTTTTTATGCACTTCCCGTCAACATTGCAGCTCGGTGAATCATGCCAAACGGGGTCCAGTATGCTGGGATTTGGTATTGATGGAGTGCAATTGTCAATAAATGTCCAATAGCACCAAGAGAAAAAGAAAGAAGAAAGAAAGAAAAAGAGAGGTACTATACTGCACCATAAAGCCATCCTGATAGCTCGCATCGGGCAAAGCCACCCAATGCTATTCCTCCAAGGTGATCTTGGCAGACTTAGTGAGGAACTATGAGAGGTTGGGCTAAAAATTACCTTTGGAAATACGGTAGAGTTTAAAATCTCAGTTTTCAGGTCATTTTCACAATCCTCAAGTTTTCTACTGGGACACTGGAACCAGGCTTATGAGCAGCGCGAGTAACTTTATAATTCTCTATGCCCACCGATAGGCCTTTTGATTTATACAACTAAAGCTACACATTCACAAATCTCTCCCAATGCTCGATTATCCTCTACCGCCAAATGCAATTCAACAAAGGTATAATATGACAAAACGTTTCGCTCATAAAAAATAGGTCGGCACATTATCGCATCATCATTATATATGCATGTGCCACATCGAGTGTTTATATGAAGAAAACAAAGCACCAATCCCCCAAACTCCGGAATAATAAGAAAAGACAAAGAAGCGGGGGTGGCCAACCTAATAGGTTTCTGGTAATCCCTCACTTCCAAAGTCCGGGATCGTATCGCCGCATTTGAAGGAGCGGGTGTATGCCTTCTTGGGAAGTATTCCAGCCGCAAGACCCTTCTTGTAGGACCATTGAGTGGCGGCTTCGGTGTCCCAGGTCCAGTATAACCACCCCCAGCACTTTTCGAAGGAATCCATCTGGGCTATAATGAAAACTTTAGTACGAGTCCAGCTGTGACACCCCAAATAATATTAGGGTAAATACCTTCAGCAAACATAAGGAGAAATTTCTTATATGACTTTGAATAATCGGAGGGATTGGCATTAGCTCCTTCGCACGAGCACCCTTTTCCACCGGGACAGCTCGGCGTGTCGGTCTGAGTGAGCGGATCTCCAGAATTGAGTGTGCCTTCCCAGCGCGATCCAATCCCAACCTATCACAAGTTAGAAATTCTGCGAAATGCTATCCCCCACAAATTAAAGACTTACGTTGTTAAGATAAGGTGTGCAATCCGTCTCAGCTTGTCCCCATTCGCCAACCATGGTAGGTCCAAACCTAAAATCATAATCAGCGGCCAATATCCCTCAAATTGCTACCATAGATGACCACCCACCCAGTGGAAGTATCAACACTCCGCGCCATCTGCTGGCCCCATCCATCACAAGCAAATTTGACTTTAGCGGAATGCGTTGCTGAAATCTGCACATTATTGAAGATGACATATTGATGGACGTCGAGCAACATCTTATCCAAGCTCTTGAATTCACCCTTCCAGTTATCCAACCCTCTAAACCCATCACCGAAAATAATGTACCCCTGATAACCTGCCTTACGAACAACCCCATGAGCCTTGACGGTCCACTCAATAACCTTGTCCGCATCAAGGAAGATCATCTTCGGCTCGTTGACAAGACCGTACATAGTCACCACGTTCTTGTATCGAGGTTGGGAAAAGAATGTCGCCATCTGGTTATGTATGTCCAGGGTCTTTTGAGCATTGGTATCTCCGTCCGTCCCATTCAACCACCCGATTGGCCCGAGTTTACCACTATGGTTCCAGCCATTGGCTCCTCCAGGCACACTATGCAAGTCGAGCTTGACTCTCAATCCATACTTTCTCGCATATTCAATCGCCCGTAGCAAGTACCTCCAAGAGATCATCGGAACGAACGGATCGCCGCCCAGAGTCATGATAGCCCAGTACCCGAAAGGAATACGAACGTGATCAAGCCCGGCGTCCCTAACTTCCCGGAAAGCGCTCTCGTTAATGAAGTTTGCGTAATGTTGTTCAATTGTCTTTGCTGCATTGGTAGGGCCAAGATGTTTGCTAAGAGTGAATTCGTCCACAACGCCAAACCTAGAATCAATCTTATTGAAGAAAGACGGTGTGATGAAAGGTTCAACAATAAGCCATCCTCCAAGATTGACACCACGAATAGGCTTAGTCCCATATGGAAACTCCTGGTTCAAAGGTGGAACATTCTCATTCGCCTGGACGGAATCATCGTAGTCATCCCAAAGACCCATAACAGGAAGACCTCCGACTTTCCGGTCGGTAAAGGTAAGGTTAAAATCCTGCGTATCAACCCAAGTAAACGGGTCATAATAAGTTCCCTTATACTCGGACTGTGCCCCAGATAGTCAGCCAGCGTCACGAAAACAAACCCAGCCGAGGAAAACGAGCATACCGGAATACTAGAAGCATCAATATCGCCGATGCTCCCACCCTTTCGCCCTTCCCCAACCCCTCCTCAATCCCACCACCCGCAGCGCCCTTTCTCTTACCAACAACCAGTACCCCAACAGGAATAAGTATGATCAACAGGATAATTGTCAAACCAAACAAGATCCCTAAAAAAAACCCCAATTAGCCCTTTACCCCCTACCTCCTTTAATAGAAAGAAAAAAGCTCACAAAAGCAAGACCCACACCTCCTCCTCCTCTTCTCCGGCGGGGGCGGGGGCGGGGGTGCACTCTGACTCCTACTTCTCCGAGCCCTCCCATCCCTATGCCCCGAATGCTCACCAGCGTCATAGGCCCCTGCAGGAACAGACCTCCGTCTCCTCTTCCTCCTCGGCCTATCCCCCCCACCTTCGCCGGCAGCGCCTGCCCGTCGGTGGTGACGCCTACTCTCGCCCCTTTCCAGATCCCGTTCTCGGCGCCGTCTCTTGTGCTTTTCCGTGGCTACCGGGTCGACAGAATCGTCAGATGGTACCCTCCCGTGAGAATAAGCGTACTTTGTCATTTCCGGTTCGACGCCGAATCACAAACCTAATCAATGCGGAAGAGGAATGAAGGGAAAAGTACAGTAGGAGCCGAAAGCGAAAGTCGAAATCAAGAGTCAAGTTCGTCACGTACACGCCCCCCTTCGACACGCAGCTCAGGTACGAGTAGTAAGTCAGCTAACAAACAAATTCGACAATTCTCACCTATCTTCGGTTTTCGGTTTTTTTATTTTTTATTTCTTACTTTGCTTTTTACCACACCTCCCACGCTTCGTGAAGCTCTGGTAATGCAGCAGGGAGAGCAAGCAAGATTTCGCAACAGCAGGAAAAAAAAACCCTTATTCGTAAAATAGTATAAGAAATAAATAGAAAAAAAGGCACAATACCCTTTTCCTTTCCTCTCCTCCTGCAGGTATAATACAACAGGTATGAAGCGAGGAAGAAGAAGAAATGAGAGGAAAAAGAGGTGAACACGAAACCTCGCAGCTGAAAAAAAAAAATTTCTCAAGGACACGGCAGGATAGGTGACGAAGTTGTTTTGGTTCAGCCGTTGCCAGAGGAACGCACAGGCATTCTGGGCGGGGCCGCGCTGCGTTGCTGTGTGGTGGACAGACAAGTCAACCTCCCCTCCTCTCGGCCGCTCTCCCGTTTCTGGCCTTGTCGCCCGGTTCCTGAAAAAGCCCGGATTGAGGCTCAGGCACGTGGCTCGGGACAAAGTTTAAATCAAAAAAGCCCTAAAACCACATTGGGATGTTTGATGATAGCATAACGGTCCGGTTCGGTCCAGTCCAGTCCAGTCCAGTCCAGTCCAGTGCTTTCTCATCATGAACTGCTATTCGGATATCGGTACGCAGCGGTTCGTACCCGAGCAGCCCTCCTTCACAGTAATTGGTATGATAGTCTGTCGGGAGCCGCGCCCGAGGGGGGCGACGAGATCCCGAAGTGAATTGCTATAGCTTCAAGCCGAGGATGATTATCTACCGATCTCTCGGGAGGGGTGACGGACTACCGGTAGGGTAGGGTACTTGTAGATCAATACCATGGAAACACTATTTTTAAACACCATGAAAAATCCAGTTCAGTGCCAACAATCACACATCCCCCTCGGATGCCAGATCGCTATGATAGGATAAATTTATGATGCCGGTATTTACCCCACTCCTCTCCCTTCCCCCCGAGCGCAAACCCAATCAAGACCCTAAAGCTCCCCTTGCTTTAAAGCCAGCCAGCCACCCACTCTCGGCACTGCAGACCAAACAACAACAATCCCAACCAATACCTGAACAATCCGGGACAAGCTCCCTACCGTGCAGTTGCACCCTGTATCATCATACTCGTGCACAGAGTCTTGCAAAACAGCCACCACCACGCTCCCCACAGTATGATAACCAACCAAACATAGCGGGACTAACCCCAACCGCAATGTTTAACCCCCCGTCCCCCCCCCCCAAAAAAAAAAAAAAAAGAAAAGGGAACGGAAAAATCAAAAGTTCAGTGAATAATGGCTCAACAGAAACAGGGACAAGCTAACCTTAGAAATAACATCACCGGTACTGTACAGTACTCGAGAACAGTGCTAGTACTACAGTATACACTCTTCAACGAAGGCAGAACGACGAAAACCAGCGAGTGACAAACAAGGGGGGTGTTTGACGAGTAAAAAAGGTTAGAGTAGTTTGTCAACGTTCAGTATCCATACTTGCAGGGCAACGAAAAAAAACAAAAAAACAAAAAAACTTGTTAATTGATCCCTGTTCGTCGCCCGCTGCTGGTTTTTGTCGTGCCCCACTGTTGGAAATTTGTGTATTCGCACTGGCGATCGGAGCGGTGGTCCTGTGGATCTCTCTATCATACTGAGGGCACAGAGCGCGATATCTAGCACTCGTTGAGTCCACCAAAAGTGAGAACGGGGAATTGGTATAAGTTAATATCATAGGATAGCGCCTGTCTCCCAGCACCACCGAGTATCACACATTACGGTACTGGTATAGCAACGGGCCAATTTCAATTCCAGAGTCTGAGGTTGGAAGAAAGTGCATATAAGTGAGGCTCCACAACCCCTACTGCACCACCCCTCCTCCATGTCCCACTTTTCACCGCGGTGCAATGTGATAGGCTATGATGTATGGTATCGTACTGTACGAGTAGAGTACGAATACTAGCATCATGAAGTACTGTATATTCGGATACAGGACTGTACTCGTACTCGAGTACCTGATATTGTGTCTGAACCTAGTGACGACGCTCATATGTGCACAGACAATCTGCCACACAAATTTTTAATTCCCATTCTCAATCTCCACAAGGGGAAAAAGGGAGGAACCGGTCCGTCCATCCCGCCCCTTCTTCCCCCCATGCACGCCATCCGCACGTTTTTTTTTACACTGCACAGGACTTTGCTTCATCCCGTTTACTGTATCATACCTCCACATGGCATACCGGTAGTACCGTGCACGAATAATCGGCACAACCACGCGAGCGACAGAGCGGTAGGAGGCCCAGAGAAGGGGAGAAAGAGTAACAAAAAAGGGAACCCTGCACATCAGGTTATATCCCCCGTCAACCATCAACTATTCACAAGAAATAAACTACTGTGGCTACACTCAGCTGAGAGGGGGAAGAGACAAAGGAGATAATGGTGGAGCTCAGAATCCCACAGTAATAAACGAACAAAAAAATAATAATAATGAGAAAATCACGAAAAGGAAGGAAGAAGAAAAATTCGAATGCTTTCTCCGCAAAATACCCCGAAACTTATGCCGTTATTTTGAACAAATAAGATGGATCCAAGGTAGAAGTGGAAAGAGAGGGGAGGGGAATCACGATAGGTATGAGAAAAATGAAAGCCCATGAGATATAAAAAAGATGACAGACAATAAGGGGAAATAACAACACAAAAAAAGAAAATCGTACCATCTAACTTACACCATTCATCAATCTACTGTTACCCCTCTGCATTTTACAGTATGGTAAAGTCCTCGAAGTGGATGACGAGAAGGGAAAAAAAAGGGGGGTAGTAGTAGAAGAAGTAAAATAAAGACATCGAAATAGAAGGAAAGGAAAGTGAAATGAAAGGAAAAAAGGATTGCAAATTCTCATAGTAGAGTAAAAGTTTCTGTACGCCCCAATGATACTTTTGACGGAACTATTCCCCAGTAACGCTCGATGTCATGCAATAGCAACTCTGGCCCCCTCACGACCGAGCACGCCCCTCTCTTGCGGCTTTGGGCTGGACGCCCGACCTTTCCGTTTCGAAAAGAATCCGAGCATTCCTGACGGCTTCAAGCGTACGGGTGTCGGTGATGATTTGTCCGCCAGATCCGACCATGACCCAGCCTCGTCCAAAACCACTTGCACACCACCACTTGAGGACTGGTTCCTCATACCAGACCTTAACTTTCCAATACTCTGTCTTTTTTGTAACTGCTGTTCCTTCATATTAGAGCGATCGGTCGAGGATACCGTAGGTGGCATCGAACGAGGTGGTGGACACACTTTAGGAAGATCCGTGCATGATGGAATAGGGGGAGATCCAGACGCAGGAGAACCCACTAACGACTTTTGGGACTTTTGGGTAGTGTTAATTGAAACAGGACTTGTATGACCCATTATTTCTGACTGAGGAGAATTCATTGGCCTTACCCAGTCAAGAGGTTCACCGGCAGATTTAGAAGCAGGATCCACCGTCCCAGGATGTCTACCACCCTTAGTCGGGCTGTGCTCGACAGTAAGATTGTGAACAAAAAATAACGCAAAGGTCCAACTTACCTGTCAAATCCAGCCGTAGTATAATCGAATGGCTCAAAGAGTGTTTCTATCATTCTGTGCAATTCTTCTTGCCTGATCTCCTGAGCCGTAGCATCATCCTTTAACCTCTCTCGAGGTCTCTGTCTTCTAGCTCGAGCCTCTAATGGCGCCTCTTCCAGTAGCAGTTCCTCAAGGTCATATGTAGCGTCAAAATTGGTCTTCTCAGTGGAAGGCTTGAACACAGGATCATACTCCTTCCTCTCTAATGCGTCGAAATCGATATCTGCAAAGAAAGGATGGCTTGTGAAAGTGTTGAAGCCAGTTGCCCCAATCCGTTTAGTCACATCCGGCTGCAGTAGGCTTCGGATTGCGTCCATACAATCTCTGGTGACTGGTGGTTTTGTGACGGCGTACTTTGGAGAAGCCTTCATGATCTCCTTGCCAAGAGTTTCATGCGTATCCGAAGTAAATGGTCGCTAGAATCCAGAGTTAGTATCAACAGCCAATTCACACTCCCAAGACTCAAATATTACCTTTCCATAAATGCACTCATAAAATACAACACCCAATGACCACCAATCAACACCAGTATCGTATCCATTCCCACTATAAACCTCTGGAGCCAGATATGCAAGCGTACCAGACTTACTGGACAATGGACGATCCGGATGAATATCGGAAGCGACATTCTGGAACTCCTATTAGCCAAACAGAAGAGATGGCCCAATTGGATAAGGAGGAGCTCACGAAATCGGCCAAATGCACATGCCCATCGGAGTCGAGTAATATATTATCAGGCTTAACATCACGGTGAACAATACCCCTTCCATGAATGTAAAGGAGAGCACACGCCAGTTCTGAGATCCAAAATCTCACAGCTTCCTCCGTGAACGTCTTCCGGGAAATGTGGAACCGCAAATCCCCGCCATTCATCAAATCAACAACCAGATACCTATGGCGGGGGATACTGATTAACTATCACATCCATCGATAGGGGAGCTGGTGAGGAGGATCTTAGCACATACAGATACTCGATATCTTGGAAACTATAACGGAGATTGCAAAGGAAAGGGTGATTCAATTGCTCCAACATTCGCCTCTCCCGTATTATATTCCGAACACTCTCCGATCGAACAACTAGTAGTAACCAAGGACCCAATTAGTAAATTGTCCAACTCTAACTCCCCGCCCCCCTCCCCCCCCACCCACTCCATCACCCAACCCAAGCTTCATATCAAAAAACAAACCTTCATCTTTCCGTATATACTTAAGGGCGAATGTCAAGCCTGTATCCCTCCTCTCGACAATCCTAACCTTCCCAAACGCCCCTTTCCCCACAACCCGCAGTAACCGGAAGTGATTGAGGTTCACTAATACAATTATCCCCCACGTCAGTTTATGATTCCATATTCATTATTTCACTTTCACTTTAGTTTATTTGATCCCTCAAGAAAAATCCAGCAGGTAAGATTGCGGCCAAGAGGGTGAAGAGAAAAAAATGGGGCAAAAAAATAAAGTTCTTCTCGATCTGCGATCGAAGACAACGTTTTTCCCACGCGAGAATTAGGGCCGTGTGGCGGAATGGGGAAAAAAACGAACCCTCTTCTGTGAAGACAACAGGCTTTCCACTACTATTCCCCATGACTTCCAACAGCTAACCAATGTCGACGCCAGAATGGGTGAGTTTCGTAAGGGACGTTTCTTATTTATTTACTTATTTGGTATCCTCTTTGAGAGAGAGGTTGGATATGTGTGTCCGTTTAAGGTTCTTGGTCGGATCCGTTAAGTTTGTCAGATAGGTGAAGGGGGAGGAAGTTTGGTGCGTGAGCCGCGGTACGGTAGTTGGAGGGGAGGTAAGGCCGATGGAAGCTGTAAGTCGTAAAGTTAAGTCTCGCTTGCTTGATGGGTAATAGGATTTAATTAACGTGGTCGGAGGAGGGAACTAGGGCTTCTAGAATGTCTATCGGGAGATGTATGGTAGAAGGTACGAGCGATGATATGGAGAGGAAAGGTAGGTAAGGTATGGTAAGTAAGGAGCGGTGAGGTTGAGGTGAAAGGGTGGGTGTGGAGTGAGTAGGGAATGGGTTGGGGCAGGGTGCGAGAAGAGGCACTCGTAGGGCGAAAATGAGAAACAACTGGTTTCTACACAATCAGCTCCTATTGTCTCTCTCTATTTTATTTTTTTGGCGGTCCCTCAGTAGAATTGGGGATAGGAAGTGAGAAACTGGGCTTCTAAAGACAAGGGTTGTTCCCCCGCGTGCTATCGGGCCAGGAGCAGTGAGAATGGTTTTTGGATGTTCGAGGCTTTGGGTGAGGATACTGTGCGGGACGTAGAGGTTTTTTGTGGAGATACAGTGCGGCAAAATAGAGTGGACGGGAGCACAGCGTGAGGCAGGCAAGTGTTTAAGGTATAAGAGTGTGTATAAAGTCGGCCGATATTATGGCACGTCTTGGAGGTCGTAGTTGGCTGATCGTGGAGAGAGCGTGCGAAGTAGCATAAAGCAGCACAAGGGAAGGGAAGGTTTAGGCGGAGAGACAAGGAGACAATACCCGAGCTTAGGGTGCTGTTACAGTGACAATTGGGGGGAGGGGGTGAAGGAGAGGAGAAAGGGTATAGTAGTAGGAGGGAGAATAAGGAGGAGGGGAGGTTTCTATGATACAATTTTGTTCAAGGCGATTGTAGGTTGTACTATATCATACGGAGACTAACAGTCAGAAATACAAGAGCCAGTTGGGGGATATTCTAGACTGACAGACAAGGTGGCTTCGGTGGGTTTGGGGAGAAATTATCTCGCTCGGCGGTTTCATGGGTAGAAAAAGGGATGGAGGCCCCAAAAAAGGGGAGTTCCCCCCCAAAAATAATAACAATAATAATGAGAAAAACCCCTTGCCGGTATCACGTATTTCCCTTCAGAGCAAGATGATGGATGCTTCTTGAAGCATCATGACATTGTACTGTTCTTGCACTAGTGCAGTACTACAATGACAGAACTTCTTTTTTTTTTTTCACTCCCTCTCTACTTGTATCATACTCCCCCCATCCCTCGAGGCGGGCACCTGTTGCTAGCTCCCACCATAGGTACGACCTTCTGCACTGGGTGCTACTTCACTATGAGGTAAGAAGGTATAATACCGTAGTTCAAGTAAGAAAAGCATATATGGTAATCGCGGTGATAAACAAATGCTATGCTCTAACGCACCAGAATCCAAAAGAAGAAAAGCCATTGGATACGATCCAAGATCCTCACGGAAACCATGAATTCGCTAGAAAAAAAAAAGAATAAAAATCAGTTGGATGAACAATCACAAAAAAGAAACCCCCGGAATTCCTAGGTTAGCCCGGCTGCCATGAGGTCCCCATTATCCTTCGTACCGTGCTCGAGTACGAGTAAATGCCATGCTCCCCTCACTTCCCACACTTTCCCCATCCACCAATCCACCAATCAACCAACCCCTTCCCTTCCCTTCCCTCCCTTCCTCCCACTTCCCATGCAAGCCGCAGCGAGTGTGGTTACCTTCGCGCGCGAAAAGTAAACCATATCACGGCAAGAGCAGCGTACGCTGGCAAACGCAACATGGGGTATCATAGGAGGGGGGGGGCAGGCAGGCAGGCTACCAATCCCCAAATTTATTTCCTTTTTTCCCTCAACCTTTTCCTCCAAACATCCCTTTTTGTTTTCTTTTTTCCTGCTGTCTCACAAACACGCTCAAGCCTCGTGGTAAGTGTTAAATAAATAAATAAATAAAAAGGGCAGGAGAATGAAGGAAGTTCGGGAGAGGAGCAGGACAAAAAGAAAGGAAGAGAAAAAAAAATAACAAGCCTAATCCTTGAAGAAAGGGAAAATGTGACCTCACAAGGATGAAAACGAATGTCGCGCTAGAAGAAGTTTTGGAAGCGCCATGGAAGAAAGTGCTGCTCCCGAATTGGATAGCCAAGCCGGGGGCACAGGAAAACCACATGGCAACACACACACTTTCATTGAGAACCTGGAAAGAAGAGTGGTGCACATGCAATGTTGCAAAGAAGGCCTTCGGTGATCGAACCCGGGGGTTAGAAGGGGGGGTTTGAATCGGGGATTCTGAAAATGGGGATAGAAGGGGGGGGTTCTTTAATATCTTAGTAAGCAAAAGTAGGGGGAAATATTCATTGCATAGGAAAGTGGAGTAAATTAGCGAAAAAAAAATCTACCAAGAATCTTATCGTACCTGTTTGATCATACCTGTTTTAGTATCAGCAAATTTCACGCGAACATGCCTCCCATTTCAGGAGAACACTGGAAATTCTATATCCGATCAGAGAAGAAGGTTAATGCTACCTTTTATCGTGTCTGGTGCAAGGCATGTCTCTTGGTGCGGAGTGAGGGGATACGGGCTGGGAAGCCAGAGGTGTATGGAATCCGGATCCTCACCGCTGAGGAGGAAATACGGCTGTTAGAAGAGGGTGAGTGTCAAATGTAATCCTAAAGGAAATGGATGGGTAATCTAAATATAAGTTAGCCAAATCATTGAGTGGAAGGATCAGCATTTCTGAGTGACCACAAGGTCATGTTAAACTACCTCCTCCTATGATGCCCCCATGCTATGGCAGCAATGAAAAATACCTGTTACTGGTTACAGTATGGCGAAGACCCATACCCAGAGTACAATGATGAGACTGGTGCCGTTCCTGTAAGAACAGTTAGTAGTTTAGGATCGAGGATAAACACTATAAGAGTAGGGGGTAAAATAGAGTATGACAGAAGAGTGGGTAGGTTACAGCACAATAGAAGAGGAAGTACCAGCTTGTTGCCAATTCCAGGATCAACACAAGTCAGTTTGAAGCATTGAACTACCACTCCAGATATTGAGTTGATAATTAAAAAATCATGTTCAAGCAGTCCTGCCTCTAGTATCATAAACAGTAGTAGTAGTGGTCTTGGTCAGCAACAGTTTATCATCATACCTGCAAAGCATAAAGCTTTTAGTCAAATAGAAAAGGAGGAATTTCAACTTCAAGTTGTAAGCGCAGTTTTCTCTGCTGGGTTAGCAGAATGTGCTGTGGAAGATCCTGAATTTTGGCGCATGATCTAGCTAGCAAATTCAATGGCTCCTATTCCTAACCATCAGCAAATTGGTAGCCTACTTAAGAAATTGGTTAGCATATCAAATGAAGAATCAGCAAGTCTGATAAAGGGTAAGCAGATTACATTCTGTATAGTGTAACGGGGGCTCCCTCTGGGAAGATAGATCCCAAGGTTGCGACCGTACCGAAATGAATTCTTCCGTAAAGTGAACAAATATAATAAATGTCAAAAAGTCTCAACAGTAGAGTTTGAAGAAACAAAATGGTAAAACTTAATATTGTTAAGCCACAGCTTTTACTCAATTAAGTCCTGATCTCAAGAGGTAGTTGATTGCCAGAGTAGAGGAGAACTCGTATATACTTAAGTAGATTTTATATACTACCAGTTGCTCCCCATCACTACTCTGTATTCGCGAGCACCCAACTCCCTTGGGCTGCCTAGCTAAACTCCACGGGTCGGACCAAAGATCCCCTATAGCGAACTAGACTACTCTTGGGGTTTTCTAACATCTACCCAATAGAAGTATTTTAGCCGCTGCATCTACAATGCAACTACAGGAGTAAAAACTCTTCACATCGTGGACATGTCAGTGGTGAGCTGTCATGCCCGAGTAGATGCAATACCTGATAGAACTCTCTACCCATATACACTTAGTCTTCTACAAGCATCTGTAGCTCTTAAAAATCTATTCGGTTCTACTCTATTCCAGATCATTCCGGATAATGGCCACGTAGCTCTCCCGATAGACCCCTTCGGATATTGACTACCAATAGGCATTACCCACAGTTAACCCTCCGAGAAATAGGTCTTATTGTGACCTTAAACTAGTGTCTCAAAGTCCCTAATGATTCTCCAATAGTATTATACTTTCAGGACAATGGACTTCAGTTACCTCACCTACTAGCCTTCGGTAACCTCACATACTACCTTAGACTTCAGAGTAGTATTACTCCATCAGTTCTGGTCTGTTTTACATGAAACTCTCTGGAGACTATTCTCCAGGTTCACCTCTACCCCCTCATATATCCTGCAGACAGCTTCCAGTCGGACTGACAGCGGGAACGTATATGGTGTTACAAGAGTATCTCCACCTGAAGATATTTACTAGGCTTACAGCAACTCTCCAGGCTGTAGCCCTTGATGCCAGAGACTTATAACTGGGCCAGAGGGGGGTATTAGCCACCACACCTCCAAGTTACAGCTTGTTCAGAGCTCAACTGGTTGTGCGGGAGTGATCTGTACAACCTGAGATTTGAATATCCTATATAGTTTCGCGTGATAAACAAGCTAGTAACTTCCCCCGAAGTCCTATGTAACAAGTTACTTTCAAGGTAGAGTAACTTGGCTCCATAACAGGGTAACCCATAGCCCAAGGCAGGGTAACTTTAGTCCAAAGGTAGGGTAACTCTACTCGGACTCACTGTTGAGTAATTCAGGGTAACTCCCAAATTAACTACTTAGGTTACCCTACTGAGTAGGGTAACTACTGCTCCTTACTAGTATCCGTATACTTCTTAGTAAGGTATAGTATGCCCAACCAAGGTACCTAATCAACAGTACCTCTAGCCGGTAGACTCTAGTCTACCACCATTCCTACTACGGTAGTCTCTTGATACCGGTATGGGTATAGGTTTAGTCAATTGTAATAATACTCCGTGGAGTCTCGTTACATATATATTGATGGGAAAATATCAAAAATGAGAAAATAGTGGGAATGGTGGGGAACTTTCGTAGTCGGTATTTAACTTTTAGTGTTGAGAATATCACCAGGGTTCCTAAAACTAGAAAAGAATTAAAAAGGCTTATGGTTGTCCAAATTTGTACCTTGAAAGACAAAAATGGTATTTGGCAGACAGAGGTTATTGCAGTATGTGCTGATAAAGGTAGTGATAGTCGAAAGGTAAAAGCATTATTGGAAGAGATGTTTTCAGCGCTA